TCAATAGGTTCAGTAGTTTCGGAGGAGTAATTGTCACAAAAAACCTGCTTGCGTATTAAATAAGTAATAGATTATATTTTTTAATACAATGTCAGTAAAATGCCGTAATTTGGTTTTGCGCACATTGTTGAATTATGAATTGAAATCAGCCCATGACGTTTTTTTAGCGATTGCATAAAGTCTGCATCGTTTTATAGCGCTTTGTCAAGCTAGCAGTGACTTCAAAATTATTCACCCAATGGAGGATAGCTTTCCATGATGCCATGGGAGCTTGCAGCGATAGACTAAACTCAGAACGGAAAGTGCGCTGAGCACAAAGCATAAGATCCACGTTTTTGTAATATTCAATTCAATTCACACAATCAACAATCAACAATACAACAAAATATAAATTGACGATTAATATATACTACATAGGATACAAGACATAGTTATAACCAATACAAATTGAGAATGAATAGTTAGGTTCCTCATTTTCTCGTGTTGAGGAACCATTACAATCTAAAAGACGTACTGGAGAACATATGCCTTAACAGCAAACATGTGTTGTGCACTCGTCCAACGCTCCATGGCTACTGAAATTTCCACTTGTCTAGACGCTTATGGTAATTTTAATTTACCCCGTACTCTAATAGCCCCCAATTCTTTGTCACCTGGTATCAGAATCGTGTCATTTCACTGCCTCACCCTGTACGAATTATTTTATTTTAGGGATGGACGGGATTGAATTTTTCGTTCGGGACGGGACGGGATTTTTATTTCCTTCCCGATTTTCGGGACGGGACGGGACGGGATTTTTTCCTGTGTATAAAAAGAAAGTACTGTATTGCAGTTACCAAAAAAAGACATACGAAATCAAATTTTACCATTTGTGGCACTGATCTATAAAAACCAAAAAATGGGTAACCATTTACAGGTACCCATAGTAACTTGTGACTCGCGGGTCACGGGGTGATCGTCTGTATGACTCACGGTCACGGCGAGATCGTCGTCATGACTCGCGATCACGGCGCGATCGTCGGTATGACTCGCGGTCACGGCGCGATCGTCGGTAGGACTCCGCGGTCACGGCGCGATCGTCGGAATGACTCCGCGGTCACGGGGTTATCGTCGGTATGACTCGCGGTCACGGCGCGATCGTCGGTATGACTCCGCGGTCACGGGGTTATCGTCGGTATGCCTCGCGGTCACGGCGCGATCGTCGGTATGACTCGCGATCACGGCTCGATCGTCAGCATGACTCCGCGGTCATGGCGCGATCGTCGTCATGACTCGCGGTCACGGCGCGATCGTCGGTAGGACTCCGCGGTCACGGCGCGATCGTCGGTATGACTTCGTCTCCTGCGTTCGCGGACCTATCGCTCGCAATAACGGCGTTATCGGCACTCGCGAAGCGGAAAAATCGCCAACGATCGGACCAAATCCCGTCCCGAAAAATTCCCGAGTCAAATGTAATCCCGTCCCGATAATCGGGAATATTTTTTTCCCTGAAAAATTCCCGAAATTTCGGGACCCGTCCATCCCTATTATTTATTTTACTATACATTTTTTTTACTTCCCATTAAAATTAACTTTTCACAACTCGAGTCTACGCACAGGCCCTGCCTATGTAGACTTTTTCCTTTGTAATAGAAGGTATTTTTTTTTACATTTTTGTTCACTTTATCTCTACAGTGTATAATTTTAATTTTAGTTATTCAGATAGTTATGTTTTCTGTATTATTTATTTTTTATTTTTTATTATGTACTGTATGTATATATCTAATGGGAAATAAAATATTATTTCATTTCATTATTTATATATATACAAGGTATAAGCTGGTCTTGTTGTTAAAAAGTGTAATTGTAAATAATTATTTGGCAGTGGAGAATATAGAATATTTTTTTGGAGGGGGTCGAGATTCATTTAAAGTTATGTTAAGTAATTTCAAGTAGACACCCCATGATACTTCATCTCAGTTTTGCTGCGGTAATTTGCACTAAATGTGACTTATACTTTACCAAGATTACGCAGTATCATGATATTGTTCCATTAAATCATATAAATTGTTATATTGTTAAAAGAAAATACCTCAGTACCGGTAATTACTAAATTTAAAGATAGGTCTAGATTTAACAATATGTCATCCCATCTGTAAACACTTATTCTAACCCAAGGAGTCAAAAGTCAAATAAGCGATTGTGATTATCATATTCGGAGGGGTTCTAACTATAAGTATTACTAAGTATTAAGTAAGTGAGTGAAAATTTAAAAACGTACGTTTTCAGGAAAAGCACTTTTCAAAATGTTTTCCCCTGTTTTCAAAACTTTTATTATTATTTTTATTTCATTAACATTTGAAGTTTCATAAAATGTCCATGGTAACGCAATATCTTTGGTATTTTTTTTTTAAAGAGCAACTTTAGTGGAAAAACACAAAATCCTGTCACAACCATAACATACTTTTAAATGAATATTAAAAATAGTTAATATTATTTTTATAACTATGTTTTGCTATAAACTAATTTACTTTTATGACCATTATACAATAAAAAGGTCACTGAGCTTTTGGTATATTTGGTCTTTCTAGAAAAAAATAAAAAAACTCAAAAACTTGAAAAAAGCCAATAAAATCTTTTTAAGTTTGTATAACTCCGAAAAAACTTACCTGAGACCCGAAAAATCGTTATGTTTGTATAGAGGTGTGCTTCTTTTGTGTATAAAACATTGAAATATGACGATATTTTAATTTTTGAAATTTTTATGATAGAAATCATAAACGTGATGGTCAGGGACAAGCGGTACGGTCGTGAATTTTCTGAAATAATCTAAATCTTTCTAAGCAATACTTCAATTATACTGTTAGTTATAATAAAAATATGTGTTTCAATTGAACTAAACTGTTCAATTTACAATTATATTAAAGTTATTGTCACGACCAAACACACTATAATCCATAAGGCTGGATTGGTCGTGAAAAAACCTGCGATGGTCTTGAAACTTTGGTCGTGAAATTACGTGTTATTTGGCTATGTTCTGGCGGTAGCCCTGCACCTCATGTTCGAGGATACAAAGTGGACTTCTAGATTAATCTAGCAATTGAAATATCTTATAAACAAAAATTAACACCATGTCTACTTCATCGAATGACTACATACGGTCATGGACACACCAAAATTACAAAAAACACAATCTTTCCTTTATTAATCTTGTCATTCCTCCTTTCAACTCGAAACGACCGGCACTACAATCCTGACGTACACCCCGAACTAGTCTCTCAAACCAACTGACTCCATCGACGCCAGGCTTGCCACTGTCGTGCTCCAAAGTTGAAATTTTTTCCCAAATGGTCGTGACGCCAAATCGAGGGACAGACTTATTTTGTCATGGTAGTCAGTTTGCAATGACAATAAAATTATAATATGCTCCTTTTTTGTAAGTTTAATAACCATTGATGACATAAAAATATGGCTTTATATATTTCGGCATGAATAATTAGTCTAAAAACAGCGCGAAAGTTGGAAAATGTACCCTAGGGACACGTCATGGTCGTGAATTCCGAGACTTTAAAAATACGAAAAAAATACCTAGAACCTATTTAAAACCAAATAAATGTGTGTAGCATGTTGCCCCCGTCCCAAAAAATATTAAAACACATAATAATAAACTACAAATCCAGTATCCACGAAGTAAAAGGCCAGGGACATGAAAACGTACGTTTTTAAATTTTCACTCAAGTATAAGTGTTAACATTGACTATTGGATACAGAAGACTAAGACAAATTTTATTAAAAACCTGGCTACAACTTTAACATGGGGATGGAATGTCTAGTTGTTGTATTAATAGTCAAAGGTATTAACTATAAGTATCTTTTTTTTCTGTCATCTGTGTATAAATTGTCAAGACCTATTTGATTTTTTTGTGTATACATGCATTTGTGATTTTTATCATTTAAAAACTGTTTTAAAAGTATTGTTTTATGGAGATCTTGTAAGAAAGGTGGAATTACAATGTTGAATAAGTTCGCGCATGATTTATGATAAATAATTTATATTATGTTATTAATTTTTTCTTCACATCCATTATATCCTTATACTCGCCCCTGTTATTTGGGTTGCATTAAAAAAACACCCCATTTTGAAGAAATCAGGAACATATGGTTGGAATTAAGAGTCATATTAGTCAGGCAGGAAGTAGTTGAAAAAATTTCAAGAGCTCTGGAGCAAGGCCCCACTAGAAAAACAGGCCATGCTGCAGGATCTATGGTGTCACACTAGTGTATAGATTCATTGATAGATTCACTGCAATATACAGTTGAACCTCTATAAGACGAATTTCAAGGGGTACGGGAAAAATTTGTACTATAGAGGTATTCTTAATAAAGAGGGTCGTTTTATCGAGGTTTAATGCTGCTGTTATTCTTCTTATAGAGGTTTCTCCTCGCTCCAAGCTTTCTCCAAACAATGACTGAGGAAGGAAGAGGGATGGGTGGGGGTTTCATGTTGAGACAAGCTTCTGTTTGTTTTGAAAACTACGTACTATGGAGGTTAAGATTATGATAAATTCGTCTTATAGAGGTCACGTTCGTCTTGTAGAGGTTTTGTGCTAAGAATATTCGTTGTATAGAGGTTAATCCGTCCTAGCCCATGTGACAAACAAATTCGTCTTATAGAGGTTTTTATTTTTAACTTAATTACTACGTTGTATAGAGGTGTTTTTAGCATTGATATGAAAGTGTTAAGGGGATAAAAAAAAATTTGTCTTATCGAGGAATTCATTTTATTGAGGTTCGTACAAACGAGGTTCAACTGTACCATATGTTTTAGGCAAAGCTGGTCGTTTGTCAGATTTAAACGGTAAAATTTTAGAAAATTTTAGTACAACATACACCACTGTGACGTAGTGTTGCGCTGCAGCACTCTGCCTGTTTTTTTAGTGGGGCCTTCTCTGGAGTGTGTTTTTATATTAACAAACATATATACGACTAACTCTAGGCTATAGTATGAAAGTATGGCTCACCAATCTTTATTGTAGTTGTAGAAACGGTCAGGGTAGGCAAACCAGATTTATTGGGTTCACCTTTGGGTACGTTAAAAATTTCATATTTATCCACATAAGTCTTTAGTTTGTTACAAAAAGATAGTCTATCCAAACAAACAGTTTGCTGCAACTCATCCTGCAAGGAAATGAACATTATTATTATAACAAGTTGTATTTAATCCCAATTTGTTTATATTTTAGTTGTTAAAATAGAAAACTAAACAACACAGGGTGACATTGTCTTTTTCTATAATTTGTTGTAAATATTTAACTAATTCCCAGAGAAGTAAGATAAAGAGGAGCTTATGAGACAACCGTAGGCCTATAGTTCCGGTATGTTTTGGAGCGGAAATGTACTACAGTTAGTATCCGAGAGCAAGCAAGAGCGAGAAAAGCGATGACCACAAACATATTTGTACAGCAGTCGTAGTGCACATGGTCTCCCTACCCCGTGAGTGCTGTAGTACGTGATGGCAAGGGGGGAAAGGAGAGTGGAGAGTAGAAAGGGACGACAAATAGAATTTGCTCTAGACACAAGCGACTGGTGCTATACCAAGACCCCACTACACTACATGTTCTAGTGGGGTGTAGTGTAGTGTAGTGGGGTCTTGGCTATACACCACTTATAGTGTACCATTGAATTTATCCTCTGTTTCCTACTTCTCTGTGACGAAGTTCAGTTATGTTGTATTGTACTTCCTGAGGTTAATAATTTACGTTGAGGTAGGCCAACATAATAAATTACCAATTTCTATTTCAATATTTGTAATATAAAAAACCCTTTTCTGTCTGATTGATTAACATATAAGTACATGTTAAGATTTGATCATGGTACATACATATCACACTTCTCAATAGGCCTACATCATAAAGCTAAATAAAAAGTATAAGGGTGTAACCCTGACACAAGATTGTTTATCATATGATTATTCTCTTCTATGACCACAAATATTAATTGGTACACAGTATTTAAAAAATGAGTCATCTCCCTTATTGATGAACCAATTTTCTAGTTTTGTTTACCCACGTAGTTTTAATGTTATTTCAGTTTTAAGATTTTAATGGCAGCCATTTTGCCATTACACATGATAAAAAATAATATTTTTCCTCAAAATTGGTCTTTGCTATTCATCTACCAATTTTCAATTTACTGTAAAAAGCCCATATAAATAAAGTTTTGTGAAAAAACAATATCGTGGCTGTACAGGTAATTTTTGAGTCTTGAACATTTGTAATGGGTTATTTTAGTTAGTTTTACTTTTATCCAGGAAAAAGGTGGTAGAGGGTTCATGGCCATTTATGTGTATAGTTCTGTATTCTATGTGTACGCCGCAACAAGGCACCACTTACTGGCATCATTTGTGAACAGAATGACCCCATTTGCAGCTCTGCAGCTGACGTGTACGTTTAACTGATGTTTTTTAAATTGTTTTTGTAGTATAGAATCTCACGCTGCATGTGAGGTAAGGTCAGTGATACATTTTTGATTAAAAGAAACATATCTGATGCTGATATAAAATATGGCCCAAATGCCCAAATGCAATGAGTGGTAAAGTGCGGAAATAGGTTATGGGTTGTAAAAATGGCCGAGGAAAGCTTTTTCATTTGTAGTCTTTTTTGGTAAGTCTGGGTACCCACCAAAAACACAATTCCTTCCAAAATGAACATTTTCACGCCCATTTTCAAACTACCTAGCCCATTTATGCACTTCCGCCTCTGTCATTGCATTAGAGTCGTAAACTTCAGTCATCTGGTGATAAATGTCAGCATCTGATATGTTTCTTGTTGTCAAAAACTAGCCTTACGCACAACGGGAGAACCAATAATTTTAAAAATGTTAAAAACTCACAGCAAATTGTACACGTCAGCTAGAGCTGCAAATGATGTCATTCTGTACACAAATGATGCAAGTAAGGGACAAGGAGCCTCGTGGCGTGGATACGCAAGCTACGGAGCTATGAGTAAAAACAACCCTTGCTTAAAAAACGACCCTCATATCTTACAAATCTTTTATATAGTATTCATATTGGAAAATACTTGGGATTTTTTTCAATAAAAAATTAGAATAATTTATAAAATATAAAATTATACTTTTAAAATCCTTTTGAGCTGTCTAAAAAACGTATAGTTCTCTTATGTAAACATAATACAATACCTATACAATTAAGGTTTGTGTATGACATTTGATGCCCATGGACTTTGATGCCCTGACAATTACGTGTCTTGTATATATATGTTTGTGTGTGTTTTGACGACTCCTGGACATCATGGACAAAAATGAAGGTGAGTGAAGCCCAAAAATAATCTTCATAAATGTTTGCCTATAGAACCGAATTATTTGTTTAAAATCCCACAGCACCGAAAGAATGTTTCAAACATACTACAGTACCAAAAAAATGAGTGGAAAGATGAATACGAGGCTAACTGGGCCTTTACTGTGTATTCTGTGATGCAGGATTTGGTACCGGTACCAGCACTTGTGTGTGTTTGTCCAATTGGATTAAAATTATAATCAGGTTGAAACTCATTATAGTCCAAACTGGAATTCCTTCCAAACTGTCAAACTATAAGTATGTTGTATGATATTATCACGTTATATATGGGACAAATCTGTAACAAGAAAAATTACTTCAATTTTTACAATATAGACTGTTTATATACCTCTGCAGAAGCTGGAACTTATGTATATAGACTAAGCACATGATAAGATCACAAATATCTTTAAGATGTAAAAGATCAGGATACTCCTAATTTAATATTAACTTTTTATTACATACAGTATTTACAACTTGGTTGTGCAGCTTTTATATTTTATTTCTATTACGATCAAGTTGCATACTGTGACTGGAGTGGTCCAGGGTACACTCCATGAGCGTCTAAAAAATCAGGAAAAGAACAATTGTAGTTTTTGTACATTTGTTCCATTGTTATTACCAAATTTGCTTCACTGAGGCTAAGACCTCTGTGAACGTCTTGGAGAAGGTCCTCCCATGCTTGTTTCTCATGTAGGAGCTCAATTCTTGTTATTTCTCTTCCAGAACATGTCAAGTGCCTTCTTGGGATTTCTCCTGATAACTTTTTTTGTTTCAACTTTAACTTCTTTAAGGTCTCTAGTTCAGCTTTTAGCAGTCCTTCAACTACAAATTGAAAATACTAGGATTTCAATCAAAACTATTTTAAAAAAGAGATATTTTTTTACATTGTTTAAAGGAAATGTTTACATGAAAAGACATAAAAAAACCACTATCTTTTTTGATATGCATGATTATAAATATCATAGCCCTCAAAAAACTGTGTTTCAAAATATTTTTTTCCTCGAGCGGAAATACACCTCTTTTCACAAGACAATATAACTTTTAAAATCCTTTGAGCTGTCTAAAATCCATAATTAGGTTACAAACATAATACAAAATACAATTAAGGTTTTTCCAAAAATATAAGTCTGTCTTGAGCTCCAACCACCATTTATCATGTTGTTTACTTCCGCCACTACTATTCTACCAACCTGATGCTATGAATAGTATTGTAGTAGCTGATAAAGGTTTGAGGGAAATCGATGCTTTTGCCTAGTATTAATTAGCGTTTTGTGATTCTGTGGGAAATTATTCAATCTCTTGAAAATCTGTGGCCAGTTGATGGGTGTATGGTGTATGGTGTGTATATAAAAAGGGTATAGACTTAAATAATTGGCGTGTTTAAGACTATAAGAGGGCTTAGCGTTAAAACCTCCCGTTTCAGTTTAGCAAGCTCTAGTTCAGTAACATCACAATCTGAATAAAAATTTTCCCTAAATTTGAATCATTGAAACAAGAATGATAGATAACCGATCAAAACCAACCTTCATCGTTCAAAACACCATCAACCTCGTAAAAATAATATTTAATACCACCTGCAAACTCCCTTGAACCTTATGTATGTTACAACTGTACTTTCAAAAACTTTTCTCAATTTATATCCATCAACTGGCAAAGGAATTGCTGACATCGTGCTGATTTGTCTCAATAAGCTTTATGAGATTGTTTAACCAACCAAAATCTAATCAAAATTACAGTAGGGCCTATGGCTAAAAATTTAAAATGTACAGAACCGTTACCGTAATAAATCAAACCTGTGTAGGGTAAATTAATCAATCATTTATTCATCCAATACTAATGATCTTTTATAAAAGTTTTTCTTTGTGTTGTTGATAGTTGATACAAAACAGAGGCCTTCCCCAGCGCACCACTATTTCTCACATAGAACCATCTTAAAATCTGTATTAATTTATTTAGAACTAGTTAACCTGTACCAATAAAAAAAGTTTTATAACTTTTAATTATAAACATCCACAGTATATTTGTGCTAATATCTCTATGACAACATTCTTAAATATTGAGAAACTAAATTAAAAGGTTAACAAAATTACTTCTCCTGATTGGCTACAAAATTTAATGTCAATGATTTTGAATGTGTTTACATTTCTCACAGTCAGTTTATATGAATTCCTCACTGCTTCGATAGAATCTGTCTTAGTATTTGTCACATTAAAAATCATATACAAAAATATTAATTTGGCAAAAAGTGTGATGACAGACACAGTAGCAGAATCTGAAGATGTTGAGGACCTAGAAGACATTAAGCTACTGCCACCTGTAACGTTGGGAGATATGTCTCAGGTTTTACTTTTGACAGATGAAGACAAAACTAAACGGATAGAGCAGTTAGAAGGGGAAGTAATGTCTCTTACTTGTCAACTGACCGAGGCACGGAATCAGACTAACACTTTGTACACAGAGATTGACCGTTACAAGAGAGTCAATGGTCAGGTGGGCTGGATTGTGGAGCAATACAGACATAACATGTCTACTGCGGACATTAGGAAATCCAGGTAGAGTTTGGTTACATTGCCAAACGTATATAATACTAGATTACAAAACAAAAATCAACAATACACATAATATATATGTCAACTGGTTGTTTATTTAATTAAGCTACAAAGTTTATTAATTCCATATAAAACTTTAAGAACTACAGGATGAGGACTTGTTATATTTTTAAGAACCATTAATAACCTTCCTACGTTGGTTAATAGCCTATTTAATATGATTAATTTTTGTCATTAGTACTACTTTTGTATCAGTGGCGGTCCCAGGATTTCATTTCGGAGGGGATGACCACCAGGGGGGGGGGGGGTCTGACGGGTCCCCAGAAAAAAGGGGTTCCAAAAAAATGTGGAATTTAAAGCCTAAAGACATATTTTTATATGTATTTGAGCTCTAAAATATGCTCAAGCTAATAGTATTTATGTTGGCTAATAACATAAAAATATTTCGGGGGGGGGGGGGGATATCCCTACCATCCCCCCCTGGGACCGCCACTGTTTTGTATTGTTTAGATAGAGGTATACCAGGGATATTCAATTAGAGTACATATTTTTCTTTGCAAAATTAATTTCACTAAACTTGGTTTGATTTTATTTTAAAAGCTATATTAGCTGGTTTATAAATGGGTTTAATTATGCCTACTTTTACTGTTGTTTTACCACATTTTATGCAATTCAAATTCCATCAAACAATTAATTTGTTTTTGGCTGCCACATAGTAAGAATGAGTATTTGTGAAAAGTATTAAAGTATGGTTACAAAATGTCTGGTTTGATGTGTTTTCAACTTCCACCCAAGCTGTTTTTACTATTGACTTTAAGCTTCTCCCACCAAGTTTTGCTACAAACAGTTGGACTCCTTATGAGTTGCACATCCCATCTGACCTAGATGGGATTCAAAATCCTCAATTCTTGTTTCTATCTCCTGGCTGATACTGTAACGTAACCTCACTATGCTTGCACAGATATTTGAATATAAAGGGTAGGTCATATAAGGGCTGGACACATCAGTCTTTAGGGCTCAAAGAGTTAATCCTAAATACCTATTTTAAATTCAATAAAACTAACAAGTCAAAACCGATAGTTTTTTTCTTCACAAAATCAGCATATTTTTAATTTTATGTGTCCGTTAACATTTTATGATTTTAATCTTAATAAACCATTTTTAGGCTGCCACTGCCTCCTCCACTTCCTCCACCAGAAAAAGAAACAGTTTCTCAGGTAACTGGGACCAACGAGTTGGCTGAAAATGAGTATTCTGATGACTGGGAATCGGCTGATGAAGCAGAAAATCAGATGCTTGGTGAAAATACGGCTTACAGTAAAGACATTTCAGAAAATCAACACTTCCCAAGGCCAATAATTGGGCCACATTTACCGAGAGCTGCAGATCTGTGCAAATCTTCAATGGAATATTCACTTTCGATGGGTGCACGCAGGGTTCCTAGAGACCCGACTCCTATCCCTTTGCCTTCGCTCAGTGACTATGATACCAGAGTGGATGCTCTTCTAGCAGTAGCCACTCCACAGACCCGCATCTCTGACATATTTCACTACTTGTTCTCAGGGCCGACACCACCTCCCTAAGACATTATTAAGTTAGATGATTCAATCCTACCAATAAACCCTTTAAAACCTTGAAGTGTGATGAAAATATATCCATTATTTATACTTCCCTATAGGGAAATGTATAACAAGGTGTAAGGATGGGTTTTTAAAATCATAGAAAACATTGTTAATTTAGTTTTTTTTTCTTTAAATTTTCTATTAAATTTACAAGAGCATCTTATTTTTTATAGAGGCACCTTGGGTACCACCCGGAAAACCTGTCACCAGAGATAGGAAGAAGTTGAGGAATGAGGAGGCTATATGGTGTCAGCAAAAACCCGCCACCTCCCTCGCAGGAGGTGGCACCTTGTTGGAGTGGCACATTGTCCTGCACAATGGAGTAAGGGGGGGGGGGGCAATGAGCAGCCAACCAACAATTATTGTACATAAATGACTATAGGCCAAGGAGTTGTTTCTCAGCAAACAGCCGATAGTAAGTTTGCAGATTGTAGAAGCATCGTTTTAACCAACAGACAACAGATACAATGCAAAACATTACAGTGAAGCCAAGGTCTGGAGATGCAGATTACTGTTACTGATTACTGCACTGATTTAATGTTATAGTCTATTTTTGGGTACAGTTCCTTCAGAGAAGCTATCGTATAAACTTATAAAAAAAACTTCTTGATTAGCATCGTACGTACGTGTTATTAAATTACCTGAAAGCACAAAAATAGGCTACCTCAAAAACACTTATATTCTTAATAATATTTACACTTATACCATTGACTATATAACACGTAACACGCTTATACTGTTTACTCACAAGACTGTATAAATACATATAAAAGATGGTACAGTAAGGGGTGATCGATTTTGATTGGACACTCAATCACCATCAGACCCAATAGGCAAATGTCACATATCGAATTGGACACTCATATATCTATGCAAGCTAGCAAGCATAGTAAAGTTATGTTACAGTATAACCGAGGTTTGTCTACTCAGCCAGGAGATAGAAACGAGAATCGAGGGTTTTGAATCCCATTGAGGTCAGATGTGTTGTGCAACTCATAAGAGGTTCACCTGTTTGTAGCAAAACTTGGTGGGAGAAGCTTAAAATAAACAGCTTGGGTGGAAGTTGAAAACACATAACTTAAAGCCAGACATTTCGTAACTACTTTAATACTTTTCACAATTACTCATTCTTACTGTGTGACAGCCAAAAACAATTAATTGTTTGATAACCCAAATTTACAAGCTGGAAGGGGGTTTACTTTCATGTTTCTTTTTTATTGTGAAGTGTGACAGAGACTGTACAAGGTAATCCCATCCCAGTGAACTAGCTAGGTTTCAGTATCTGGTATATCATTAAAAAGTAATGAGGCAAACCCCTTAAAAATAGGTACTCATTACTAACCATTGAAGGAATTTAGGCTAAATGTTGAACATCGACAGGCTGTTTAGTTTAAACTAAAGACCCCAAGAGTTTGAAAAAATCAATGTTTGGTGGGATTCCTGAATTCGTTTTTGGTGATTTTAGACAATCATTGCCTACTGAACCACATTATAACTTAGGGACACTAACTTATTTCAACACAAAATTTCAATTATTTGGGAAATTTTATTCTTGTTTTTTAAGTGTGGATTCGAATAGGCCTAGCTTGACTTTTTGGGTGACAACAAAGCTCAAATATTGCGAACTAGGTTGGACATCTTCAATGTTTTTGCCTCTAAAAATTTACAGTAGGCCTAAGTTAAGTTACAGTAGTCTAAGTTATTGCCAAAATATGCACAGCATGTGTTTCCCATCAGTGTAGCTTACATGATAAAATTAGGCCTTGGGAATTTTGATAAATAGCCTAACTTATTAATATTATTTTAAAAGTGGGTTGCGAGAAGAACTTCTATCTAAGGTGGTAGTGGATCGCCAGACCAATGGTTTGGGAACTGCTGGAGTAGGCTATACCATTTACAAATCTACAATAGGTTACATTTAGGCTTGTACCTGACTCTCATAGGGGGCGCTTTTAGGACTCGGTAATCACGCAGGTAGTTTTGATAATTTGAACGAGTTTAACTTAGGCTAACTTAACTTATGAGCAAGTTAAAACTTAGGCCTACGCTAACTAACTTTCCGCCTTAATGTGTTATAGGCTAATTATTTGCATATTTAACATGTAAAGATAAGAAAACATTACAGAGTAATCAACAAACGTGGCATGAGGAACTTGAAAGAGTAGCCTAGCCTACTTGATTTGATCAATTTACAATTTTTTATAATAGGCTACCTAGGTCGCCCCGCTAAGTATCTGTTAACCTACAACTGAACCGAACCTACCCAGTAATTTGTGTTTAACTTATTAACCTACTAAAGGATGAATCCCAAAATGTATAGCTACCATCTTCAGCCCATAAAAAAACTCACCCTCTTTGATTTTTTTGGTATATTCCAAATCATGTTCCTCCTTTTCTTTGATTTGTTTCAGTAAATTAACTAAACTTGTCATTTCAGTGATTGGTAGGCTACTTCTCAACTATAAAAAAGATTGTCTCCAGAAGGCAACTAATTTATTAGGCTAATTTATAAGTGTTTAAGTTAGTAATTTAAACATCATCCTCTGCAAACAAGTTAATTTAATAGATCTGACGATGTACTTTTATTAGAATTACGAATATGGCTCAGTTTCACAAACATGCAACTAAGTTATTCTGTGATAATATTCTGTAGGCTACTGTACTGAACATTGAACCTACTGAACTGATTAGTGATTACGATTACGATTACGGAACTGAAAATCTAAACATCCGACATCGACATCCCACAACCAGTCATTTCTTCGATGGGGGAACCGGAAGCCAGAAGTGAGAAGGTTAAAACAATGTTTCAGTGCTGCCACTCGGATTCGAGTCAACCAAGAAATAATAATACAATACATGTGTTAGTATACCTTTTGGCGCTGGCAATTCGTCATTATCATCCTGGCAGCGAAAATCTACCAATCCATAATACGCGGAGTCAAAATATACAGGAATTTAATATCCACGAATATTATAACAGAAACGTTCTACAGTAGCATCATTGACTATATAACACTGTTAGTGTTTATAGTCAATGGTAGCATTCGTGCACGGCAATATCTCCATATTTCTATATAAATTATATATTTCGAGTGAAAGAATCAATATATCGATCAATATTTTCATTCGGTTGTTTTTCACAACAGATACGGAAGTCTGCCTATGTAATATTTGCAAATTGAAAATTTGTTTTGCCATGGGGAAAGTTAATAAAATACGTTTCCATAAAAATACATAAATAACGGATTTTTTCTTATTTTTTATGCAACTTTTGGCTGCCTTTTTGATTATTTTCAAGCAATGCATGGTATCAATTATGGTGAGCGCTTTTTCATATACAACAGCTAAGGAGCTGCGTCATCGATATGACGTCACTGTCACTGCCGAGTCGATCCAAGGCTATTAAAAAGAAAAAGAGGTTGCCTCAGTCGCGCGTATGACGTCACCCGCCGACCCGGACGGTGCTGCTTTTAATTCACACAGCTGCCACCTGTCAAATTCTTTGTTATTGTTGTTTGTTTTTGTGTACGTTCTGTGCGATTAAGTAAAAGCATGTAAAAGTAAGTTAGCGGGCGGGAGTGTGACGTTATCCGTCGATCTGATCGCCGCATTCTCCTTCACTCTACATATTACCACAGACTAACCAACACAAGGGATGTTGATGACATTTTTACTTTATCTATGATAGATACTAGGAAAAATAAATCTTTGATAAAGAACATCTTTAAGATCTTTAAGGGAAAATATTTTGGCTCTTGCTGACTGAAACATGGATAAAATACCTTTAATATCACAAGCTATTCACGATTTCCTCGGAAAAAAACAATACCTCAGTCAGATTTAATCAAGAATTAGTACTATAATTTAGTTAGACTATATTGTCCTACTAGGCTACATAGTTTTTCAAACCGAAGGGGAAAATATCATGTCCTATCTTTTTCCTAGGACATTAAGCTCTGGATGGATTTCGCATTGCTTCAGACTAGGTAGGCTCTCCCAGTTGGATCATATAGATTTGGGATGTGTACTTGAGTAATGATTATCCATAAAAAAAAGTATTAACTATGCATGACTTTGCAACACTAAGGGAGTATGTTTTATCTATGATATTACTACTCCGCATATTATTTTTGCATATGAGAAACAGCTCTCTTTTTAATGTATAATTAATTTCGGCTGGTTTTCAGAAACAAACTTTACATAGACATTTTATTACAGCAATACAATAATAATTATTTAAAATTGGATATGAATATAAATTATAATTTAAAAAATACTAACTATGGGTGTTACGTTGTTTAGTAGATTGCCAGAACGTGTAAAAAGTGAGACTTACTTGAGAAATTCATTACCGATTTAAAGGCTTTTATGATTGAGGACACTTGTTATTAAATAAATGAATTTGTTTATAAAGCAAATGGCTTTGTTGGTAATATTTAGATGTACTGCAATTTTTACTAAACTAATGTACTTATTTTTTTTATTAAGACCTGACACCATTCATCATTGTACATGTACATATTATGAATAAACTTGAATAAACTAGTACCTAGTTGATTTGATTTGATAAGATTTGCTAGTATGTTATATTCACAATGAATCACTATTACGTTATTAATAGAGATAAGTCGACAAAAGAACAGAATTCATCATATATACAAAATACAAAATGAGGCTCATAAAACAATTTTTTAATATTTTTTGGCCATTTTCCTTTCCGTTGCTTCGGTGTTCTTCCTTTTTTTGGCGAGATCTTCATTTAAAAATTTCATCCTTATAAAGGTCCTTTGTCTAATGAATGACCTAGCAACTTCACTGGGCACTTGGGGATACTTTTCTGAAACGATTGTCATCAGCTTTCTAACAACCCCTGTAAAAAAATTGCTGTATGTCAAATTAACAAAACAATATGTGTTGTGCAGTTACAACAGTAAGATTATTAAATGTTCTAAAAATACATACAAATTACGAAAAAATACGTATTAACTGGCATTTAAAATTTTTAAATATATTATATGAACATTCGGTATTTAGTTTTTAATAGAATTCACATTTTTAAAGTTTTGTAACTTAACTCTGTCATAGTTTTGTTGAGTTTAAAGCTTATACAAATTTAGCCAAAATTTACCTGGTTCATTGAAAATATAATTTTTATGGAATGTTTCAAATTCTTCATTCATCAACTTTGCCTGTTGAAGCCAATCGAATGATGGATTTGTTAATCCTCCATATGAAAGGTGTTGTACCCAAGAGTCGGCGTCATAACTTTTCTCCGTTTTCTTAGTTTCTTTGTTTTCTAGGTAAGGGTAATCAACTTTATGCTTTTTAGCTACCCAGCCAGCTAGGTATTCTAAGGCATCTTTACTCAAATCAACGTTATCGATGTTTGGCGAATTCGAAATACCTTTTATACTACAGATTTCATCAGTGACATAGATCTCGGTGTCGCTTTCATCCTTCACATTTACGCCTGCTACTCTTAAAACTTTACTTACGATAGTTTCTGAGTCTGAGATATCTTCAGGATTGTTTGTGTTGGTGTTTTTCTGTAGCAGCCCTTGAGTTTTGCCAAGAATTATCATCCGAAGACGATATAAAGCATCCAAGGGAGAGGGATGGTCGTTTAATCCTCCACGGGTTCTTATTTGTGAAAACAAATTTTCAAGACAGTCTTGGTTTAATCTGTGAGTAAGAATGTAATTTACTCCGTAAGAATCGCGTAAGTCCTTAAACAATTCTTGTAGTGATATTATGGAAATAATGCAACCCTTTTGAAAAAGTTGCTGTTTTGATTTTCCATTGCATCGCATTGTTTCTATAACGTCCTTCATTTCTCTTAATATTTTATCTTGGTTCTCCAAGTCCTGTCCATAAGGTTTCTGGAAAGGCTCACCATACTTTCTTGGGCAGTAAGAGTTCATTATATCGAACCATTTGTTTGTGAGCTCTATGAAATAGCTCGTAGTTTGAGCACAATTGGTTTCACTTAAGTGTCGTGTTAAAGCAGTAGCTGTAGTATGTGACAAAAGCTCACATGCCATCCTAACATTTTGTCTTTGGGCTTTTTGAACGGTTAAGTGTTTGTCTGAAATTTTGTGGCATATTCTAAGATCTTGTGTTTCTTCTAGTTTTATTAACTGTTCAACTGGTTCCTTACTAACAACTTTGCCATCTGACAATGTAAAACCAGTGTCTAAAAACCAGTTACGAATGAGCTTTAGTACATGTGGTGCGTCAGCAAACACATACACCTTATTCACAGTAGGGGTGGTAAAAAAAGTTTTTTCAGTACTTATATCTAGATTTTTCCACAGCCCAACATTGCCTCCTCCCATATCACTTACACACGCTTTTACCGTGTATCCAGTCTCCTTTAGCTTGCCAATGATCTTTACAAGGGTTTCCTTGGTTACTTGTGTATCAAAATTGAGATAAAGTGGCTGTTTCCACTTGGAAAACAATCCACGAGCAGAAATTACTTGCATGTTGGAGTGAGGTCCTACAATTTTGTCACTCTTCTGGTCGTACTCAAACACTTTTTTCACTTTCATTTCATCGAATTGAAGGACCACAATGCGTTCAAGATCGTTAAGCGTAGTCTTGGCAGCTTCAAGATATTTAAACACAGTTTCCAAGACACCTTCTCTGATATTAAAACGTGACGCCCACCGTTGAAGAGTTGAAATCCCGGGCAACGGTATGTTCATTTTTCTTTTTAAAAATAGATAGCAACGTTTGCTGAGATACCTTAGAGTGAACGCTAACGAAATTTCTTCATTGGTCCAAACAACGTGTTTCTTTAGACCAAGCAATATGGTAATCTGGTTACTGGTGAATATTGAGGTCATGGCTTTATGAATTTTCTTATAAGTAAGAGCGTTTTTATTGGATTTTCTTAGTAAGTTTCGGTTTTCTTTTTTAAGCATTTTAATCTCAGCTGCATCAAGTTCAATTTTTTGTTTTAGACGTTTAATCTTATCTCTGAGACGAGTTACTTCACTGGATAAGATGTCTTGATTAGTGATCGTACTTGTTATAGGCCTACTTTCATTTTCAGTACAGCTTTCATTTATGCTTGATATTTTGACTAGGGATTCTTCTTGTTGTTCTTGATGTTGAAAATTTAGACAAAGTTTAATTGATGGACATGCGCTGGGCTTAAGAATTCTCTTTGGTGTCAGATTTAAGAGTTCCGCTTTTAAATCACGTTCGTAATCGTTGTCCGTAAAATGTTCTGAACAAACTACTGAAGTACGAGGATTTAATGGATCTACGCGTTTACAACAGTGGATCCATTGCTTACATAGTTCTTTGTCCTTAGGAAAACGATGGTAAATAATTTTAGGCCTGTCACTATGTAAATCACGGGTTTTTACCCAACTATTGTTACATACCGCAACAGCACATCGCTCACCAGGCATTTCAAACAAGCTAGTTTAAAAAAGATAAAATGTAACAACAAAATTATATAAAACACAACAAATATAAAACCGGACTGAAAATATAAACTTAAACAATGAAATAATATAACGCAGAATGAACAAAACAAGAAAGAAAATGGTTACTTAATCGCACTAAACAAGCACAAAAACGTTTGAAGTTGCCACTCAGAAATTACATATTTTCCGAGTAAGAATGGTGAATCTGTTTACAAATAAATAAATGAAAAACAAACAACAATAACAAAGTACTTGACAGGTGACAGCTGTGCGAATTAAAAGCAGCACCGTCCGGGTCGGCGGGTGACGTCATACGCGCGACTGAGGCAACCTCTTTTTCTTTTTAATAGCCTTGGAGTCGATCTACATTATTTCGATTAGGGTGGTGGTGCGACTTAACTATCGACTCGTGATTCATCTACGAACACGAACAATGAAAAAAGTTTAGTTGCTCAGTTGCTGTGCCAGCCTAGTGGTTAGCGTCTTATGGTCTTACCACTTATTATTAACTAGCAGAGTACCCGTCCTTCATACGGGGTTGGCATCTATATACATAAATTTATATTTATATTTATAAATGTATACATAAATTAAGAAAAATTAAGAATCACCCTGTAATACGCTAAGCCGATTTTTGTGAACAGAACTCCTCCCTCTGGGGAATTAAGTGGGGGAATTAAAGAAATCAAATCAGTCTGTTCTCAATCCAATGTTGTGTGTTGTGTTTGTGATGTAGAAGTGATTATTAAGTTGTTTAAATATAGACCCTGTAATGTTGTACACGTTAATGTCAAAACCCCAGTTATTTAAACAACACATACAATTTACAGTTAGAATTGGGTCAACCCTCTTAAAAATGTCATTACATAATATACTAATGTAATTTATATTACAAATAAAGGGTAAAGAACTTATTTATATGCTAATTATTTAGTTAATCAATATAAATATATGGAGGATACACCACGTGGAGTATGAAAAATACTACTGTCGCGGTCCATAAACGTTCATTTGATCCAATAGAACTTGAACTGCGCAACACATTTTTTGAAGCTGCGGCCTCAAGGCAAATTTCCATTTGTCTGATTTGATTTTCAATTAAATCTATTTAAATAACATTAGGTTTAACGATTTGGTTGTGCCAAGCGAGATTTTGAAAGGGTGTCTTGACTCCAGAAAAGAGCCATCTAATTTCCGTATACACATGATAAAGGTTGTTGACAAACTTATGGGAGAAAGTATGTGTCAGAATGCTGATACCGTTTATTAAAAGTTGTTTTATTCTTTTATTTTGATGTTTAAACCAAATTTATTGAGAAATATGCGTAGGTTTCTTTTTAGAAGATTTTATTTTATTTTGATGTTCAGTCAAATTAATTGAGAAATCAAATTGTTTTAATATTACTGAGGTCTGCTATTCTGTGTTTGTGTATTTTTGCGTCGTGATGAAAAGTATCGTTCATAACGCGTACCGAAAGTTATTATTCGGCACTTGCTCCATTATTCCCGTCCTCGGCTTCGCCTCGTACGTGAAAATAGCTCTCACATACTCGGCTTCGCCTCGCACGTGAAATTGGGCCAATTGGGGTTCCCTGAGTGAGGCGAAGCCTCACACAAAAGCCTTGGGCGCGCAACGGAAAATGCCACTTTCGGTCCTAGTAATGAAATATACTATTTTGAAAAACTCATTAAGTGTTGTTTACCCTATAATATGTGTTGTTTAAATACAATTTAAATATTAACAGCTGTTTCATTAAAAAGTAGTGAACAATTATCCATATGATGAAAATGTAAACAAATCTGGGAAGGGAACTTTAAAGGCTTCTGGGACAGAGCCCTAAGGTAATTTACTTCGTTTTTCTTTTGATGGCTCATCTACAGTCAGAGACTATTCTTTGGACACCCCTACCAAGTTTCTAAGGCCAGTCGTTCTTTCAAATTAGTGTAGACAAAGTTTCCAATCAAATATTTAGATTTCCCATGTTAATCTTATGGAAGAAAACCCAACTTTAATAGAAGATCCTGCCCAAACCAATAAAGATTTCAAAAAATGAAAAACACTTTGCAAAGCTACAGATTAGGACCATTTTTTTTTACACTATAATCATCAAAATCGGTAAAAAAATTAGGGAGGGGTTCTGTACATTAGTCTATAACAGTAAAAATGTGTATATGATTAGGTTAGTTCATTTTAGATCAGTATGTTAATGTCAAACAAGGATACAAAAGCCTGGCTTATAAAACTATGGTTGTTGAATTTTATATTGCACTGGTAAATTGGTTTGCACTGTATTCATAATTTTTTTGTTTTGACAACTAACTTCACACACTGATTTATAATCTACCTATGTAAACCTCAAAAGTACATTATAATAAGGAAACAGAATCAGAAATTCATTTTTGGAAAAAAAGTTTAAAATATTTCTTACCATTTTTGTAGGTTTTGAAGATTCAGGTAACTTGACAGTTGGGTGTTCCTTATCACGTGTTTCTTTAAATTAGTAATAACAGTTTTGAAAGATAGTTTTTGTTTACACAAATCACATATTTCTATATATGTTTCAACAGGTGTAAAGAAACTAAATATTTCACTATGTTTTTTCCTCGATGAAGAAGCTTCAGATGAACTCATTTTTCTTGATACTTTATTAGCTAAAACTTTGATTGATTTACTTAAAGATAAACATTAATAAAAAACCAGAAGTATAAGTAAAAAGTGGCAAAGCAATAGGATAGGACTTGACTATTACCGGTTGGCATATGAAAGCATTTAAAATACGTTGAGTTTGAAAAATGTTGGTTGGCGTTGTGGGCGGGAAATATTGTGCATTGTCAATGTCTAGTGTCGGATGTGACTCATGTGAAGCGGTTGGTAATGCAGGTTTTGGATTCGTTGAACTGTGAATGCGCGTTGCACGCGCACCTTGTCACAGGTGATTTTGTAACAGATATCGTCAGAGAGAACGACGTGACGGCGCCGTCCGGTAGCAGTAACAGTCTAGTCTGCTGAGTCTCCCCTCCCTCCATTGTCGCACCATTGTCGAGGAGTGACTTACCGCTGTCACCGATATTCAAGTCACCGTTTTTTCGAAGCCTTATATACAGAGGAGTGTGACGGCTGGGACTGAACCTGTTAAGTTTGTTGGTCAAAGCTTTATGTTGTTGCCTGTGAATTACGCTAAATCTAAAATTAGTTCCTAAATTAGGCAAAAACAATTTGAATTTAATGTTACTTGTCTTTTATTTTATTTCTCTATTTTCTTCTAGGGGTAAATCGTTCCATGTACAGGTGCTGATGTATTTATTCGGGATGTGTTGGTTCTTGATACCACTGATTCTGTACTCTTTCCTGCTGAAGACTTAGAAACTCGCAATGAGGTATGTTAGTTCACATTTTTCTTAATTTAGACTTTTAGACTTAATTTAGACTATTAGAATCTATCCTGTCTAAAAATATATGTTTTAAAACATATGACATTTAATTTACCACAATAGAAAGAAGGTAAAAAATAAATACAATTTTTTGTTTAACCAAAAAATAATTTATTTATTACAAGAGGCTTATGGTAGACACAAGACTATTAACGAATTTCCCATATATGGAAAAAGCTATTTTATACTGTGGTTATTTCCAAATAAAATGAACAATAAAACACTATCTAACAGTAAAGACAAATCATGAAGATCAGTAGTTGCTTATAAAATTTTAAACTAAATCAATCAAATTGCTGTCAACTCATACAAAGGCTGTCATAACATTTTCACTTGCTAGTTCTAAATATTTAAATTGAATTTAAACTGTAACATTTAGATTTAAAATGAAGAGAATAATTTGTTTTTAACGAAGCACGACTGCAGTTAAACTTAGTCTATAGAATAACAATAATTACAAGTCAACGTTATATAACTCAAGTTTACTTAAATCTTTAAAACATCATGTTTAACACACACTTGAGGTGAGATAAAACAGAATAAAGACCTAATCCAGAACTCTCACAGGGACATAAGAAGGTTATATGTATTTGAACATACTATTGTCTATACCAGAATCTAGGAGGGCTGCTGTCGCTGGCTGGCGAGCTACTGACTTCACTACACCTTAGTGACAGGTATACTTTAAAAAAATCACAGCTACATCAGCATACCTAGATTCTGGCGTAGACACTAGCAGGTTCAAATACATACAACCTTTTTATGGACCATTGAGAGTTCTGGGTTAGGCCTTTATTTTAGGATTATAATCGTACAAAATTTAGTCAATGTACTGGCTGATGTACTGAGGAGTGGTGAAGATGTGAGCCTTTCCACTACTGTTGCCTCCCACTATGATAGGGAGTGTCGGGTGCAGAGAGATCACTGGTACCTGCACATACAGTAACAACATGCAATCAATGTACCTGTATAAACCTGCCAATACACCTGTATACCATGGGCCTAATGATATTAAAAATTTCTGTTGGTCAAACATAAATCATCCAAAATATAATGTAGTGCAGGCAAAATTTTATATGGAAATCTGCATTCAGTGCATTTATGTTATTGCTGTCATGTGTTTAATATGTATAAGTTACTATAAAACAAAACTCAGTACTTACAACTGTAGTTAGCTGCTCATCCATCAAGTCTTTGACCAAACGTCCTGAGCCGTTGTACATCTGGATCTAAAGCAAGGGTGGTATTTAAAAATTACAGATTTTTTATATAGCTTATTGGTTACTTACTTAATTAAACAACAAAAATTTTAATTTCTTATAATTGCAGTAGAAGATAACCTACATGTCATCCGACAAATCCTTTGAAAGATGGAATGTCATGAAATTGTGTGATATTTTTGTTTGGTTTGACTGTACATCTATACTTGAGAGTCTACTATACCTTACTTGGATCATACACACCAGGTTATAGACACCTATACTCTAATTTTAACACAATCCTTATCAAACATATAGTGTATCAACTGCTCTTTCCCTGTATACCTGTTTACTCATGTCTTACATATACAGTAGACTCTCTCTTATCCGGACACCTTTTAACCGGACTACACTCGGCGGAAATGACATCTCTTTAACCGGACATTTTTTATCAGCACATTGGTTTAACCGGACTAGATCGGCAGAAGTGGGCAATACGGAAACGACTGTTCTCGTGGGAATGATTTGAGACCACTGATCACATGTCTAAATACAATGCTTTCTTAAATTTAAGTCGAATATCACAGTAAACAGTCCGTTTTAACGAGTTTTTACGGACATCGGTTTACCCAAAAAACTTGTTATCCGGACTGGCCTCGGTCCGGGGAGTCCGGATAAGAGGGAGTCTACTGTATTGGGAATGGAATTCAATAGCTAGCTAAGTGGAGTGAGTATTAACTGATCTTAAATTTTGCCTTTAAAGTAGGCTTAGTGGTGTTTTAACTTTCTCTTAAGGGCCTTGTGGTGACTTTAAAATGGTAAAAGTCAATTTGATGATTTTTAACACATTGTCAAAGGGTATTAGGGAACTTTGTATTGTATAAAAATGTTTATTGATGTCCACAGAGGCCAAAAACAATATCCATTCAAATTTATATAGAGGTCTATGTATTTTGTACATGTTAGCATGAAAACTCAAATAAAAATTATCAAATGCACTTGGTACAAACGTAAAGCTACATTTATAAATGAGTTCGCAAACCAGCATGATCAGCCTATGGAAACAGAGTTAGGGAATTCTGAATAAGTGGATTTCTTTAACAATTTATAACAGTATTGATAGCGAAATTGTGGCAATCACGGTTGATGTTTGGGAAGCTCTAACCGCAAATGATGTTGGTGTTATGGTCACAATAACGAGAGATGATTACGATGTTGCAGCGAATGTGGGAATGATAGCAACGTCGCCGCAATCACAATGGACGTTGACTATGTTGCTGCAACATATTAATGCATCTGAAATCTTCTGTATTCTTCATGAACACGTGACTAACTTTGCCAACATTCTCAGTTACATAACTACCTTTGCTGAAGTTTGTGGTGTCATCACCAGCTTCTCCACTATTTGTCCCAGGAAAAAGGGAAAAATAACGAATACAACTCTAAACAATAATTAAGTCTCACCCATTCATGAAAGTTAAAATATCCTGGAACCATTTGAGCACCCTATATAATTTTTATACTTAAGTTGTTTTATTGCTTTACTGCAAGTTTTTGGTCTTTTACTCTTCATTTACTCCACAAGTTAAAACTGCAAATAAATTTTGATAATTAACAGCAGCTTACCCGGCGTGGCTGCAGCAGGCTCCCCACGAATATCAGATCAGAGCTATGAGTATGCCAGATTGCCTTGAACACAGATAGCCATCTGCCAGTGTGATTGTCATGTAGAATACTGTGTAACTCTGTAACAAGTCAAACATTCATCTCTAACATATAAAACACTGGTACAAGTACCTAAAGTTGTAAAAAGTGACTATGTCCTAGAAAACTACAGTCCGCCAACAAGGGAAATATTGCCTCGGTTGAGATCAAGAACATTAAAACTTCTCATCGTCAATTTGTTGTCTTGTTAGAATGGTTGGGTATGGGTTTCAAAGGGGTTTCATTTAGAGATTGGACACATGGATGCTTTAAATGTACATAAATCATATTTAACAACCAAAAATATGAGTCTGAATACCCATCTTTATTATGATTTTTTTTTTATAAAGAAAGAAAATATAATAGAGTGCATAGCGTGCTGGTGGCGCTGCCTACGAATTGACAGGCAAAGCTCTCTTAAAGTACTTAATGCTTTTTACCATGCGGTTGGCATTCTGGGTTATAATAGTATGTTTTCTGTGGCGTGACTTTCTTGACTTGTCATTTGCAAAGTCAGCATCACTGTAGGAACGGAGTCAGTCACTGAGCAATAAGTCAGTGAATAATCCAATGTCCCCTTCAAATACCGGAATATTCTCTTGACATCACTCCATGCTTGCATGGTAGGATTTTTTAGCTTTTGTGCTACCATATTCACTGCACAACTTATGTCTGGTCTCGTATTTGTTATGTACATCAGACTGCCCACAGCTTCTCGGAAGGGAACTCCTTTACTCAAAGGCTTGTTTTCCTCCACTGTATCTTCATGCTTTGTGCATAAAGGCGTACCAACTGGATTGCATTCTGACATCCTGTACCTTTCAAGTACACTCTTGATGTAAGACTTCTGACTCAAAGAAATCCTGCCCTCTGCTCTATGAATTTCCATTCCAAGGTAGGTTTCAGGATCGGTAACTTTCAACTTGAAGTCTTGTTCCAATTGTGCAATAAAATTAGACATCTCTTGTTGATTTGAACCAGCAATCAGACCATCATCACAAATATTATTACATGCAAATTTTGAACCGTTCTTGTTACAAATAAACAAACATGGATCCGCAGTACTTTGGCTAAAACCCTTCTTAAGCATACTTTCCATTTGACACTTACTCCAACACCTTGGACTTTGTTTCAGACCATACGAACTGCGTTTCAGTTTCCAAACTCTTCCACTTTTGTCATCATAACTTTCAGGTTGCCAAGTATAGATATCCTCATCTAACTTACAATACAAAAATGCAGTTCTTACATCAAACTGTTTTAAGTAAAGATCTTCTTGAACCGCTACATTCAAAAGACATCGAATGGTATCTCTTTGGGCTACAGGACTGAATGTCTCAAGTTATAATCCTCTCCATACTTTTGAGCATATCATTTTGCTACCAACCTTGCCTTTAAGCGTTCTGGATTTTGTTTTCGTGTTAGAACCCACTTTAGACCTATAATTCTCTTATTACGTGGATGTGGAACTAACTCAAACACTTCATTTTCATTTATTGATGCCGTTTCATAATTCATTGCAGCTTGCCAGTGCCACCATTCAGGACTGTTAACTGCTTCGTCGTAGGAGGGTTTCAGCAAGTAAAACATAGTCTTGAAGGTACGATGGTGTATGTCGCTGACGTTGAGGTCGACTGTAATCTTCATTTATGACTCTTTAATACATCATTTCCAACTGACATTACATCATTTTCAGCACAAACTGCATCATTTTCAATCCCCACATTTCCATTGTAACAGATTTTTTGTGGAAATCGAATGCACATTTCAACTTTATTGTCTTGAATTCCTTCATTCCATTGAGTAGACTCACCAGCATTTTCATCTTCTTTGTTTCCTTCGATCTGTTGAGTAAACATATCATTCAAGAATTAATCATTTTTCATAATTTCCTTGAAAATCTTTGCTTGCCACAATCTTTGGTGCAACTTAGACTCTATAGCCATCTTGTTCGTCACAATATAAAACTAATATGCCAGAAACCGATTTAGCAGACCATTTCTTCCTCTTCGGTTTTGGTACATGGACATAGCACTCAGCACCAAAAGGGTGAAAATGTTCAACGGGGGCAGGACCCTTTTGAAACCACAACTCGTAAGGAGTTTTATCATCAACAGACGGTCCAGTGTGGTTGATAACATGACAGGCAGTGTTCATGGCCTCAGCCCAAAAACTCAAGGGTAATTTCTTAGCATACAAAATGCTACGTGCTGCTTCTACTAAGGCTCGCATTTCTCTTTCAACGGACCCATTTGTTCAGGCGTGTAAGGCATGCTCGTTCTCATAGTGATACCACAATCAGAGAGTATTTTTTTCACTTTAGCATTACAGAATTCCGTTCTGCCATCACTCATGAACGATTTAACGACATGACCTGCTGTCTGACACTCATTGAGAAATGTTTTTAGATAATCACAAACTTCAATTTTCTCCTTAAAAAAAAAAACTCAACGAAAATTTTGTGTAATAGTCCTTCAACACTAGACAATAATGACTACCACCAAGAGAAATATTTTCCATTGGTCCACATAAGTCATCACTTGTAATCTCACCTGGACTTTCAGGTTTCACTGTTCTTGTGTGATAAGTTTCTCTGTGATGTTTCCCTTGTACACATCCCTCACAGAAAAAGTCATCCTTTTTCACAGATATGCCCCGATCGCCAAGAAACTTAAAAACATGAGCCTTGTTTTGAAGAGCAAAACACTCATGCAATTCTTGTATTTTTTTTTTTTTTTTTTACTACTCACAAGCTGTACAGAAGACTTACTCTGTAAAACTGACATTTTAAGTTCAAATAAGCCATTGACATTGTGTCCAAATAAATAAATAAATGTGGTATATTGTCCTTTATAAAAACACACTTATTTTTATCAGCTTTGAACGTATAGTCCTTTTCAACTAACCTGGAGACCGAAAGAAGATTTCTGCCTAGTTTTGGAATATACCATACTCCTTGCAATATCCAGACAATTTTTCTCTTACTAATATTTACAACAAACCGAATGTCACATTCTCCTTCAGCATAGATAGCTTCTTCATTAGCTACTGTAACTGAAACAGGCTTAGTATATTCCCATCAAAATATAGGTATCAAAATATTCCCTCTTGAAACACATGTGTTGTGAAGCACCAGAGTCAGCTATAAATGTACCATCACTATGTCCATCAGCTACAAAGCATAAAAATTGACTAGATTTCTTCTTGTTCTCATAAGAAGAATCCCCACCTCTTTTGTAAGTTTCTTGCTTCCTTGAATTCTGATTCTGAGGACACTTGCTTGCGTAATGCGGCCCTTTACAAATAAAACACTTGACCTTGGAACTGCTGGCGTAGTTTTTACCTGCCTTTACTTCCTTAACACAATTTGATGATGGTTTCTTATTTATTTGTAATGCATGCCCTCCACTTGTTGAATTTTTAGAAGGTAACCTTGACTCAGTAAGTCTGGTCCTTTCAATCAAAAGTTCTATACTTCTATCAGCAACAGGAATGATTTCTCATGTTGTCTACTAAACCTGGTTTGAAATATTCAAGGAGTTTTCCAGGAGAATTCAAGACAAATTCCTGAATCTTAAGAGCTATTATCGGAACCCACTCAACTAATCGCAACCCGCTCAACTAATCGCAACCCGCACAACTAATCGCAACCCGCTAATAATTATCAATTATTTTTATTTGAAACAACACTTTTCCAATGAATAATATTTTATACAACATAATATAAAAGTATAACTGGTAGGTAAGGCGACACCAGTTATCATCTCCCACGATTGTGGGAATACCGGTGAGCAAATCTTACAGTCTAGTCAAAACCTGCAACCGATCGCGGCAAAACAGGTTCGCATATTTTATGATTTCAGCGACACCAAAAATCGTTTCCCGCGATCGCGGGAACACTCGTGTGCATATTTTGCGGTTTGGGCGACACCGGTAATCGTCTCCCGCGATTGCAGCAATACCTGTGAGCATATCTTGCGGTTTCGGCGACACCGATAATCGTCTCCCACGATCGCAGCAATACCCATGAGCATATGTTGCGGTTTTTGCGACACCAATAATCGTCTCCCGCGATCGCGGCAACACCCGTAGGCGTATCTCGAGGTTTCGGCGACACCGATAATCTTCTCCCGCGATCGCGGCAATACCCGTAAGCATATCCTGCGGTTTCGGCGACACCGTTAATTGTCTCCCACAATTGCAGCAATCGTAAGCATATCCTGCGGTTTCGGGCACACTGATAATCGTCTCCCGCGATCGCAGCAATACCCGTGAGCATATCCTGCGGTTTCGGTGACACCGATAATCGTTTCCAATGCTTCCAATGCTTGTTTCAATTTAGACAACAAAAGCGGTGGTGTTTCTGTTTGGGTGGATTCCTGGAGTTTTCCTGGACATTTCAAGGTAAGGAAAAATTTCCAGAGTTTTCCCAGTTTTCCCGAATTTCCCAGAGAGTAGATAGCATGTTTCTTACACATTTTTAAATTCAAAGAATTCACTTGGCAATGTACTCATTCTGGACATTAGTACAATGTCAGGCAATGAATTGGCATCATGCTTTTGCAACTCCTCATTTATTTCCCAGAACATTAATTGCAAACGAGATAGGCTATGTATTGAACTAATTCCTCATCCTCGGTTACTTTAGCAGAAAAAAAAGTTCCAAAGTCCTATCCAACCTTTGACTTGAGGAGTGTTCATACACACCTAACAATTTTTGCCAAATTTCTTTTGCTGGGTTACAAGTTGCTGTCAAATCGACATGAGCATCATCTACAGCACTTAGGTACCATCAGGACCTGGACTAGAGAATCATCTTTCTCATATGCTCTTACTGCCTCATTGTGTGCCTGTTCTTTTCTTGATTTTTCCTCAGGGCTTAGACCACTCACATCGTCTACAGTGATTCTAGGCAAAATTCTTTGGCCCTTTGCAATGTCTAGGACCCCATGATGCTTCAACATCAATTCCATTTGCGTCTTCCACCTACGCCAGGACTGAGACCCATTAAGCTTTGATATTAGTACTTTCACATCCATTTTAGATTAATTTTCAGAGTTTACACAAAATTAAACTTACCTGGGCACCATGACCTTTTAAATAAAGAAAAAAAATGTAATAGATTAATAGTTGTTAAACTTTATTATTAACTGTGTTTACGGAAACTGTTTTAAGGTAAAACAATCATACACATGATTTAATTAATTATAAACCATGTGATTGTAAAAAGGCAGTGAGCAAGTTAGTTTCTTTCAATAATTTTAGAGTCAGTATTGGTTATGAGTTACACTGTTATCAGATTTCTAACCAACAGAATAAAACAGCTTCTCAATTCTGCTCTGTGTGTTGCACCTGTTTTACCTCCATTGCTTACCAGAAAAGTAAAACGGTTATGAACTTGTTTGACTGTGATTCACAATTAATATAAAAAAAGTATTAATATATGTGATATTTCAAAGATTGATATCAGCAAAAGTAGGAGAATGCTACTGCCCTACCTTTGGCTGTTGTGAGGTCAGAAGTATCGTATATGCGGATGCGGTCGTCATTACACGTGGCGACAGCCTTGTTGCCATCCGGAGAGAAGAATACACTTGTGAGCGCCTTGCCGCCTTGACAGAGAGTTGACACAGGCTCATCATTGTGCTTCTTGCTTGCTCTCAGATCCCACACCTTGGCCTCACCAGTGCCAGAGCCGGTGAGGAAGTACTGAGGTTTGGTAGGATGTATGTGGATAGTGCGCACTGACCGAGGGTGACAGTGGTACCATCGCTCAACTGACTTGGTCCTCAGGTCTACCACCCCCACATCCCCTGTACCTGTCACATACATCACACATACACATAGAGCTGGTGAGGAAGTACTGAGGTTTGGTAGGGTGTATGTGGATAGTGCGCACTGACCGAGGGTAACAGTGGTACCATCGCTCAGCTGACTTGGTCCTCAGGTCTACCACCCCCACATCCCCTGTACCTGTCACATACATCACACATACACATAGAGCTGGTGAGGAAGTACTGAGGTTTGGTAGGGTGTATGTGGATAGTGCGCACTGACCGAGGGTAACAGTGGTACCATCGCTCAGCTGACTTGGTCCTCAGGTCTACCACCTCCACATCCCCTGTACCTGTCACATACATCACACATACACATAGAGCTGGTGAGGAAGTACTGAGGTTTGGTAGGGTGTATGTGGATAGTGCGCACTGACCGAGGGTAACAGTGGTACCATCGCTCAGCTGACTTGGTCCTCAGGTCTACCACCCCCACATCCCCTGTACCTGTCACATACATTACACATACACATAGAGCTGGTGAGGAAGTACTGAGGTTTGGTAGGGTGTATGTGGATAGTGCGCACTGACCGAGGGTAACAGTGGTACCATCGCTCAGCTGACTTGGTCCTCAGGTCTACCACCCCCACATCCCCTGTACCTGTCACATACATCACACATACACATAGAGCTGGTGAGGAAGTACTGAGGTTTGGTAGGGTGTATGTGGATAGTGCGCACTGACCGAGGGTAACAGTGGTACCATCGCTCAGCTGACTTGGTCCTCAGGTCTACCACCCCCACATCCCCTGTACCTGTCACATACATTACACATACACATAGAGCTGGTGAGGAAGTACTGAGGTTTGGTAGGGTGTATGTGGATAGTGCGCACTGACCGTGGGTGACAGTGGTACCATTGCTCAGCTGACTTGGTCCTCAGGTCTACCACCCCCACATCCCCTGTACCTGTCACATACATCACACATACACATAGAGCTGGTGAGGAAGTACTGAGGTTTGGTAGGGTGTATGTGGATAGTGCGCACTGACCGAGGGTGACAGTGGTACCATCGCTCAGCTGACTTGGTCCTCAGGTCTACCACCCCCACATCCCCTGTACCTGTCACATACATTACACATACACATAGAGCTGGTGAGGAAGTACTGAGGTTTGGTAGGGTGTATGTGGATAGTGCGCACTGACCGAGGGTGACAGTGGTACCATCGCTCAGCTGACTTGGTCCTCAGGTCTACCACCCCCACATCCCCTGTACCTGTCACATACATTACACATACACATAGAGCTGGTGAGGAAGTACTGAGGTTTGGTAGGGTGTATGTGGATAGTGCGCACTGACCGTGGGTGACAGTGGTACCATTGCTCAGCTGACTTGGTCCTCATGTCTACCACCCCCACATCCCCTGTACCTGTCACATACATTACACACACACATAGAGCTGGTGAGGAAGTACTGAGGTTTGGTAGGGTGTATGTGGATAGTGCGCACTGACCGAGGGTGACAGTGGTACCATTGCTCAGCTGACTTGGTCCTCAGGTCTACCACCCCCACATCCCCTGTACTTGTAACATACATTACACACACACATAGAGCTGGTGAGGAAGTACTGAGGTTTGGTAGGGTGTATGTGGATAGTGCGCACTGACCGAGGGTAACAGTAGTACCATTGCTCAGCTGACTTGGTCCTCAGGTCTACCACCCCCACATCCCCTGTACTTGTAACATACATTACACACACACATAGAGCTGGTGAGGAAGTACTGAGGTTTGGTAGGGTGTATGTGGATAGTGCGCACTGACCGAGGGTGACAGTGGTACCATTGCTCAGCTGACTTGGTCCTCAGGTCTACCACCCCCACATCCCCTGTACCTGTCACATACATCACACATACACATAGAGCTGGTGAGGAAGTACTGAGGTTTGGTAGGGTGTATGTGGATAGTGCGCACTGACCGAGGGTGACAGTGGTACCATTGCTCAGCTGACTTGGTCCTCAGGTCTACCACCCCCACATCCCCTGTACCTGTCACATACATTACACATACACATAGAGCTGGTGAGGAAGTACTGAGGTTTGGTAGGGTGTATGTGGATAGTGCGCACTGACCGAGGGTGACAGTGGTACCATTGCTCAGCTGACTTGGTCCTCAGGTCTACCACCTCCACATCCCCTGTACCTGTCACATACATTACACACACACATAGAGCTGGTGAGGAAGTACTGAGGTTTGGTAGGGTGTATGTGGATAGTGCGCACTGACCGTGGGTGACAGTGGTACCATTGCTCAGCTGACTTGGTCCTCAGGTCTACCACCTCCACATCCCCTGTACCTGTCACATACATTACACACACACATAGAGCTGGTGAGGAAGTACTGAGGTTTGGTAGGGTGTATGTGGATAGTGCGCACTGACCGAGGGTGACAGTGGTACCATTGCTCAGCTGACTTGGTCCTCAGGTCTACCACCCCCACATCCCCTGTACCTGTCACATACATTACACATACACATAGAGCTGGTGAGGAAGTACTGAGGTTTGGTAGGGTGTATTTGGATAGTGCGCACTGACCGAGGGTAACAGTGGTACCATCGCTCAGCTGACTTGGTCCTCAGGTCTACCACCCCCACATCCCCTGTACCTGTCACATACATTACACATACACATAGAGCTGGTAAGGAAGTACTGAGGTTTGGTAGGGTGTATGTGGATAGTGCGCACTGACCGAGGGTGACAGTGGTACCATTGCTCAGCTGACTTGGTCCTCAGGTCTACCACCCCCACATCCCCTGTACCTGTCACATACATCACACATACACATAGAGCTGGTGAGGAAGTACTGAGGTTTAGTAGGGTGTATGTGGATAGTGTGCACTGACCGAGGTAGACAGTGGTATCATAACTCAGCTGACTTGGTCCTCAGGTCTACCACCCCCACATCCCCTGTACCTGTCACATACATCACACATACACATAGAGCTGGTGAGGAAGTACTGAGGTTTGGTAGGGTGTATGTGGATAGTGTGCACTGACCGAGGTAGACAGTGGTATCATCGCTCAGCTGACTTGGTCCTCAGGTCTACCACCCCCACATCCCCTGTACTTGTAACATACATTACACATACACATAGAGCTGGTGAGGAAGTACTGAGGTTTGGTAGGGTGTATGTGGATAGTGTGCACTGACCGAGGGTGACAGTGGTACCATTGCTCAGCTGACTTGGTCCTCAGGTCTACCACCCCCACATCCCCTGTACCTGTCACATACATCACACATACACATAGAGCTGGTGAGGAAGTACTGAGGTTTGGTAGGGTGTATGTGGATAGTGTGCACTGACTGAGGTAGACAGTGGTACCATTGCTCAGCTGACTTGGTCCTCAGGTCTACCACCCCCACATCCCCTGTACCTGTAACATACATTACACATACACATAGAGCTGGTGAGGAAGTACTGAGGTTTGGTAGGGTGTATGTGGATAGTGCGCACTGACCGAGGGTGACAGTGGTACCATTGCTCAGCTGACTTGGTCCTCAGGTCTACCACCCCCACATCCCCTGTACCTGTCACATACATCACACATACACATAGAGCTGGTGAGGAAGTACTGAGGTTTGGTAGGGTGTATGTGGATAGTGTGCACTGACCGAGGGTGACAGTGGTATCATCGCTCAGCTGACTTGGTCCTCAGGTCTACCACCCCCACATCCCCTGTACCTGTCACATACATTACACATACACATAGAGCTGGTGAGGAAGTACTGAGGTTTAGTAGGGTGTATGTGGATAGTGTGCACTGACCGAGGTAGACAGTGGTATCATCGCTCAGCTGACTTGGTCCTCAGGTCTACCACCCCCACATCCCCTGTACCTGTCACATACATTACACATACACATAGAGCTGGTGAGGAAGTACTGAGGTTTAGTAGGGTGTATGTGGATAGTGTGCACTGACCGAGGTAGACAGTGGTATCATCGCTCAGCTGACTTGGTCCTCAGGTCTACCACCCCCACATCCCCTGTACCTGTCACATACATTACACATACACATAGAGCTGGTGAGGAAGTACTGAGGTTTAGTAGGGTGTATGTGGATAGTGTGCACTGACCGAGGTAGACAGTGGTATCATCGCTCAGCTGACTTGGTCCTCAGGTCTACCACCCCCACATCCCCTGTACCTGTCACATACATTACACATACACATAGAGCTGGTGAGGAAGTACTGAGGTTTGGTAGGGTGTATGTGGATAGTGCGCACTGACCGAGGGTGACAGTGGTACCATTGCTCAGCTGACTTGGTCCTCAGGTCTACCACCCCCACATCCCCTGTACTTGTAACATGCATTGCAAAATGTATACAGTGAACAACCAGTATCACAGTAACTTACAGTGAAGGGTATGAGGTTGAAATGAATTTTAAATTTTCTCGGTTTATGAATTTGTTTAACCTATTCGTATTGGTATATCCAAATTGCACTACCTGATTACAAACGGGAATTATTTTATTTGCTCTTTTAGCGATTTACACAACTATCATTTCCTTATTTGTTATTTTTGGTCTTAATCTTGATCTTGATCTTATGAGGATTTTAAGACTATTCACAACTATCCATATACTGGTCTATTTCACTCAATCGTAAACAAGACACAGTTGCAGTATTTTTACACAAAATATAACCTCAAATCTCTCACTGGTTGTTTACAAATATTTTTTCCCAAAACACATAAGGCAACCAAAGAAACTGAAAATACACACAATAATTATTGCAGATGAACATGAAAATTGACTATTGACACAACAAGTGCTGCAATCCCTCGGAATAAAGTCAAACTAATAGCTATGTCCCAGATAGTAACAGTTCCGCATAGGAATGCCAGAGCGCATTAGCAGTGCGGCGGAAATGTTCCGTCTAAGTATGCTAAACATAGACATCTAGTTGATGCAGCAATAAAGTCCCTGAACTAATCTGAAATATGAGGAGTCACACACAGTATTTAGAATAATAATTATTAAAATAGAACTAGAAATCTTATCTAAAGAAAGAGTGCGTAATAACAATGAGCATTAAAAATGAAAAAGATTTTACCCTTATTTACTTTTTCAATACAATGTAATAGAAAACTATAGTTTAAGTATGGATAGACAGTCCCAAACCTTCTGAAATTATTGGTAAAAACATCTTAATTAACAGCTGTGTCTAAGGAATACACAGTCGGCCTTAGTCACTAACAAGACTACAAGATCGCGCCACTCATCCTACACTCATCTCCATTCATACTTGGCTTAAAATACCTACTATGTATGGTCGCCATTTCATTGAACAGTATTAACAGTATTATCTTCCAGATCTTGGACGGGATTATATTTAATACAGCGATTTCTCAGTGATCGCGAGTGATGATGATGATGATGTCTTTTTGATAGCAAGAGATGTTCACAAATTTGACGATGATGATGTCCCATTCAAAGATAGTAATAAAGTGGCACGATTACGGATTATAGTCATGACATCAAATTAATAAAACAAATAATTTTGGTTGTCATCACTGCCACTTACACAAGATTTTTTAAACAAGCCAAAATTTTCCTAGTTGCATGGGAGGGAAAATCCTGTCCCAAAGAAAAGAAAGAAAACAAAATCCTTTCCTATCCCAAACTTTAAGCATTGACTAAGTAAAACATTATTCAAAAAGTTACGCCGTACTTACCATGAGCAACTAATAAATTATTTGAATCCAGCTGAGTATGCCAGGTGAGGTGACACATGCTTGATTTTTCATCAGTTTGGTAAACCTGAAAAAATACACATCTCCTTAGTAATATGACTACTTTTATATGTGAAGACAAAATGGCATTTTCTAAATGTACTTGCATGAAATAATAATAATATAACGATATAATGTCTAGATTTAACATTTTATATAGTGCTATATTTCTATTTTATTTTGTTTAGTTTTATTTAGTTACTTTACAAATATTTTGTTAATGTTAGAAAGCATACAAATAAAATCAATTTGCATTAGAGAATTTTTTTCTCAGTCGGAGAATTAGAGAATTCTTTGTGGAGTAAGACTAAGATATCTGGCGACGCAGTGAACCTGCAGACTAAGGGAATTTCCATTAGTTGTGGTAAACGAGCGACAGAGACAACCGACTGCATGTGCTGACTCTCCCATAAATCTATTTGTACTGCTAAGCCGCCAAGATAGGTGCGCTGGACAGCACCTAGCAACCGACTGCTCGTGTGAACGGATCCATATGCCTCTCTGGTCCGCTTCACAGCAGCTTGTCACTGTCGGCTATGTCATGGCGGCGTTACAACTTTAAAAGTTGGTCTTGTGAACCAGGCTTTAGACATTTTTCAGTGATAGCAGTTATTGTGGGTTTTATGGGACTAGGTCACATCGAGCCAAAAAAGTAATTGTATAGATCAAACTGTCAACTACATCTACATTTTCAATAATTAGCAAAAAAAAAATAATGTCTAATGAATGTTTTCAAGCTCTGCCAAATGGGTTAGGTTAGGTAGGTCATTTCTTTTTGAGCTAATCCTAGAATTGCCTAATATAAGTTTAAATGTAGTTAGTGTATTACTAGCTGTGTGCCGTTCTACGCACGGGGATCTTATAATAGTCAGTTGAAACCTTCTTATATTAATAACAGCAGTTGGTTTGCATATTTTCAGATATGCTGGCAAAACTATCTGACAGTTCAAGCCAAAATATATGCTTCACAATTAAATGTCATTTGGATCGTGTTGGTCCATATGTTAAATCCAATGATTAAACTAAAAAATGCTTTATAGATCCATGAGGCATAGCCCTAAGGTAGGCCTATAATTGAAAGTTACTTTCCACAATGGTTAAACGTATTTAAAGTACTACCTCAACCTCATTATTTAACACTTTATTCCGGTTGACAATTTCATTATCAAAGGTGCTCTTGTCCATTCCGTGAAACACTGAGAAATAAGGACATTAATGCGTTAACAAAAGACATAGGTAGACACAAAAATAAAGAATTTAATCAAGGAATTTGCTACCCTTTAAGCATAACACAATACATATAAAATTAGTATTTGAAGTCTTTGTTAATGTCATCAAATTTTATCATAACAATTTATATTTGCTTAGACCAAAGATGACCTGAAATGCTGTTGAAATGACGGCTTACTATGTGAAATGAAGTACATAGAAGATTTTTTTTTTTTTTTACTCTCCGAGTGTTATGTGTCCTAAATAAAATCGACACATTACACACTTTGTATAGTGTTTTGTGTCGATTTTTCGACTCACAAACACTGTTTACGGCAAAGGCTCTATGACTGACAAAATCGGATTGAACTGGATCAAGTTAGGTATCATTTTATTTGGCAGATTCTAAGCTTTCTCCCGAGGTCTGTCTCTAAGCGCTTTTTTTTCTCGAGCCGATCATAATTGTAGCAGACAGCTGACGTGCGTATTTGTAAACAGCTTGGTTAACCTCGCACCGATGACTGATGTGTTTTTTATCATTGTTTTAGTGTTAAAAATCAAAAGTAGTGATATATGTGGTGCATTATGAGAAGATTTAAGTGATTTTGAAGGGCTGGTTGATGATCCTGAAGAAGTAGGTAGTGATATTGATGTAAATTATCAGCCAGATTCCTAGCTATGGTTAGGCTATGCATTCTTAGCTAAACGATATGTACCGAAATATGTTTTTTGCCCATAACTTATTTATTTGCAAATCTACTTCCTTATATTATTATATTTTTGGAATCCTCATAAAATTCTGAACAAAGTGGCTATTTTAAAATATTTGTAGACCTATAAATTATAACAATTTATTAAGTGCAAACATAAATGTTTTCATTTATTTTATAATTTTTGAGAAATGTTAACCCCACAAAAATTGTTGAACATTTTTTTTGTAATGTTTTATATGTTACATTGAAGCCCATATTTTCCAAACAAAATGATATATAAAACAGTATACTTTACATTGTTTTTAAGTTTCTAAGATACATTTTAATAAAACCTTGCAATTGCGCAATAAATGGGCGAGCATTAAGACCAAAACTAGAGACACTTGGAGGGTTAAAAGAGGTTGGCGGCCTTTTAACCTTGCATTTGCCCGTCCACATAGTCTACAAATTTAATCAAATCTTTTTATTGTCTTTCAGCTCTACAAAAGCAATTGACATTGTCAAATGCCCAGACAGCACACTTTATCCCAGGGACATCCCATAGTAGTCCCATATGTCCTGAGAATGTCTCGGGATATGTACGCTATCCTCAGGATATCCCGCAAAATCCCGGGACGAGTACGAAATCCACAGGATATCCTACAATATACCGTAATGTCCCGGGATTTGTAAGTTAACTTTAGGATATCCTGTAAAGTCCCGGGATATGTCCAGAATGTAAATGCCATAGGATATCCCAGAATGTCCCATGACATCCCGGGACATGTACAAAATCCACTGGATATCCTGTAATGTCCCGGTAACAAACTGAAGAAAAAAAATACTACCACTGATGAAATGTACATCTAAATTTAAATGTTCAACAAGGCCAATATATAATAATTTGTTTTTTTCACTAGCGCTTTCAGAAACTTGGTTTCCATCTTCAGGCTGTGTTTACAGTAGTACAAAGTAAATATTTACTTAATAAATTAATTTCAAACAAAGTTAAAACAGATGATTTAAAGGATATTGGAAAAATAAAAAATAATATTAGAAAAATTAATCTTTTGAATTTTGGATATATTACAGTGTGTTTCTTGATGTAATTATTTTCAGTAATTCCGAATTTATAATTGGGCCGTCTTCATTATTTAACAAATAATTTTGGTCTGTTTTTTTTTTTTCTAAAAATAAGATTCCCACGCATTAAGATGTTGAGGTTTTATAATTTGTTTTAAAAGTTTAAGGTTTCCCAGATTGAAAATATGTCTTAATAATACTGTGGCTAGCAAGGGCTGACTTAACTTTACTGACATATTACTACCACTGAGTTCAGAAAAACTAGAGTTCTATCATAGTTGTGTGAAATGTGAATTGAATTCTAACTTTAAATTAATAAAACAACCAAAAATAATTTTAATCATATAACAATCAATTATAACAGTGCTAATCTAATGGTAATTAAATAATCTATATTCAAATACCAGTATCCTCTCCAACTACCAGAAAAACAATTCAACTACTTGAGGCCTAAACAGATTAACAGAATCATATTATATACTGTAGTATCAAAAATATTTTAAGTATTGCGACCATTGCAACTGTCGGCTACTCTTTCACCACTTGAAAACACCCATAATCATCAAGCGCAGATAGCTCAGGAGGTAAGGTAAGAGGCTCATAAGGCAAAGGTACCAGGTTCGAGACCCATCTGTGCCAAAAACTTTTTTCTCCTTTTTTCTTCAAAATTTGTGTTTATTAACTATTTAATCAATTAACTAAACTTATAATTAAGCTTTTCATACTAAATCTATATTATTTTGTGTTTTTTATGTTCAGGCCCAGACCACACTTTATCCCAGGGACATCCCATAGTAGTCCCATATGTCCTGAGAATGTCCCGAGGACTACCCTGGGATGACCTCGGATGTTCCACGGATATGCGTGTGAGCTTATCCGTAGGACATCCCCGGGCGGGGACATTACGCATTCCTGTGGATATCCTGGGATATCCCAGGTTGACCATAGGACCACTATGGGATATCTTGAATATCCTGTCGCAATATCCGTGGGATGTCCTGAGGAGAAAGTGTGCTGTCTGGGTGGCATCTTATCATTAAAGCATTAAACATAGTCATAGAATAAATAACAGGAAGCTTGATCTTAAATAAATTATTTAAAAACTTATATCTAAAACCTCCAAGGACAAGAACTTATCTACAGAGTAAAAACATTTTAATTTTAACCATGATTCAAGGACTGTTTTGAATTTTTTTATTGGAATCGTTACTGCAGAAGGGGGTAATTTATTAAAAAATTGTATACTATGATATTTGTAGCTATTGTGTGTAAGTGTAAGTCTTGTAAGTGGTAAGTTGAGATGATGGCTATTTCTTGTGTAATGTTTATGTATGTCAGTCTCAGATCGGATGCTATACTGGTCTATACTCTCTTTTACGTATAATAAGCAATTTAAAATGTATAAAGATGGAAGGGTTAGGATATTTAGGGCCTTAAAATCTGCTTTGCAATCTTCCCTGGGCATTGTTCCTCTAATGCACCTGACTGCTTTCCTTTGCCATTTGAAAACGGTTTTGGCTCCTACAGAGTTACCCCATAAGAGAACACCATATTGTAGGTGAGAATGGAAAAATGCGTAGTAACAATTTAGAATAATTTGTTCACTTACATTGTTCTTTAATTTGTTAAATAAAAATACAGTTCTAGCCAATTTACTACATAAAAAGTTTGTATGCTCAATCCAATTCAGCTTCTGATCAATATGGATTCCTAGCAATTTTACTGATCTATTGTCATTAGAATTTATTCTAAGGTTAAAATGAATTTCTTCTGTTTTTGAGTTGTTAATCCTTAATTCATTTCCCCGAAACCACTCTTCAGCCAACTTTAACACCCCATCCCGTTCTTCAAGTCCTTTGTTCAGATTTTGACCACTTGTGAGGAATGTATTATCATCAGCATAAAGAGTGGTTTTACAGGGAACAAAACAAGGCAAATCATTAATAAAAACAATAAAAAGTAGAGGCCCAAGGACTGATCCTTGAGGTATGCCAATTTTGATTTTTAACATATTAGATCTTGAATTATTTACCTGCACCAGCTGGAAACGGTTCACTAAATATGAGCTTAACAGATTTAATGATTTTTCAACTACTCCGTAAAAAGCCAATTTTTAATAAGAATTTCATGAGAGACTGAGTCAAAAGCTTTAGCCAAATCAATTAATGTTGCAGACATATTAATTTTACCATCACAACCGTTAAAAATATCTGTGATTATATTTTCCAAGGCCTTGATTGTGGACAAATTTGATCTAAAACCAAACTGACTATCACAGAACAAGTTATTTTTTTCAAAATATGAATAAATTTGTTGGTGTAGACAGTGTTCTAATATTTTAGAAAGAATTGGGATTATAGATATCGGTCTGTAATTATTTGGATCAGTTTTTTCCCCTTTTTTGAAGATTGGTATTGTAACTGATATTTTAAGACATTCTGGAAAAATTTCTTGTTCAATCATCATATTATATAGAATGGTAAGTGGATATATCAAAAGAGGGCCTATCTTTTTGATTACATAATTGGAGAAGCCATAATAGTCTTCAGCCTTAGAACTACTTAGTCTATTAATGGACTCTATAATATTTAATTGGGAGATTGGTGACCATTGGAATTTAGTATCAACCTTTCTTGAAGCTGAGAGTAGAGCAATAGGGTCCCTTGCACTTTGTCTGTTAAGTGAACTGTTATTATGGTAAACAAGCAGAATTTACAAAACTATAATTTAAAAACATTTATATCAACTGGAACAGAATTTTCCATCTTAGAATCATTGATTTCATTCTTTATTACATTCCAAGCAGCCCTAACTTTATTTTTTGAATTTGCAATGCACTCATCATTAACCTTGCGCTTAGACAATTTTATTTCATGTCTATAAATTTTTCTCAGTCTTAAATAATTTAATCTATTTTGTTCACTCAAGTGAGACTTGTCCTTATATATGAGAAGCATTATTCTTATCCTTTGGAGGCGATCAGTGTACCACTTAGAGCTATGTTGAAATACTTGCTTGATATTGTCTTTATTGTTTAATTTAGTAACAATGGGACAGTTTGATTCAAAAATTAATTTTAAATTGTTAATAAAATAATCAAAACATGCATTTATATTATTATTAAAGGGATATAATTCATATGACCAGTCAACCATATTTAAATAATTTTGAAATGAATTAATAGCTTTGTCACTTAATATACGAAATTTAACCTCTTTCCTGCTCTTATTGAAAAAACTACTCATCTTTAACAATAATCCATCATGATCAGATAGACCTAAGTTAATACAATCAAAAGTAAAGTCTGTGTTTGTTAAGTTACTAATTATATTGTCTAGACATGCTTCATATCTAGTCGGTTTTGAGTTGTGACAACAACAATTAAATGACTACAGATCTGTGCGTGGAACGTATCCAGCAAAGCAAGGGGTGAGCCGGTACAGTACAAAGGTGAACTGTACTGATAAAAGTTAGTGGCAGTGACCAGGATCCGAACCCACGACACTCCTGCCTTGGGCCCGAAGTGCGCGACGCTACCGACTGAGCCACCATTTAGATTGGTAATTTAGAATTAAAATTACCAAAATAGGCTACTAACTATTGATACATAAACAACAATTCATGATGGTTTGCTCGACAAATGTTTTACTCAAATCGGTTATCATTTTCTTAGCATACCTGGTAAGCTAAGATTTTGGAATCCAGACAGAAAAATCAAAACTTATACAGTTAAGACATCAATTAAATTGAATACGACTCTAATAAATAAGGTGCAACACCAACGATAACTAATTTGTAAATTACAGTGATGTGTTGGTACGTAAAAATGATTCTTGCAGCTACCAACGGTTCTAAGTAAAAGAACCAGTACCAAAAACCAACGTTTACAGTTTAGAACTAATAGTACATCCGACCAATTAAATGCAATCTAGTCCCGAGGTTATTGATCTCTTGGTTTTGGATTTTCTAGTAAAAAGTTACAACCCTATGTAAACTTATCGTGTCAGTTTGAAAAAAAAACCAAACAACTTTTTGTTATTTAATAAATTACGTATTCTTTAAACAATGATTAGTATATCTTTAACATTAGAAGGAAATGTGACAAAAATCACACAATGTCGGGTTTTTGAACATTTGTAATTTTATTTCTTAAGTAGGTAAGCCATGTTCTATGGAAAAGTACCGGTATCAAGGATCATTGTAGAAAAGGTTGTTATGAATAATTGGGTAGGCGTACGTACCCAAGAGATGGGCTATGGGCCTATTGGCTGTATATGTTCCAGCGATTGCATCACACGGTGAGTAGAAACAGAAAGTGACACATTTTAAAAGCGAGTTAGTATCATCCATACACCTCTGTTACAATCACCCACTGCAGTTGTGATTTTTTACTTTACACTTTACACAACCGCCATTGAAGCGCTGTCAATGAGTGGAAAACTTGTTTGTAAGCTATTGGCGACGATCATAGTGAATTCCCTTTTTTTTATAGTGTCCCTGCCCTATACAACACTAATAATTCAAGGTCTTCTTTCTGGTTATCAAAACTCAAGAACAATTTTATACACAAAGAATTTTTGGTTCCTGACCTAGATGATGCCTAGTTATTTAATTTTTATTTACGGTTACACTATAATATTGCACTTGCGATTAATTAAATCTGTTATGTAAGAAAAACGTTTTTACTCTCACTTGGTTGGGATTTGCTTCAAATCGTGATGGTTGCGGTATTTGTAAACAACATTACAGTAGAACTCCGATTATCCGAATCAATAGGGACCAAACCCCATTCGGATAATCAAAAATTCGGATAATCGGAGTTTTACCGTAATTTTGGGAATTTTAAAGAAAAATCCTAATTTTCGGTACTAAGTGAACTTTTAATTAATAATAATTTAAATCAGAACATTTTTACAGTTTACAATGCTCATAGTACAAGTGTTCTATACATGTTATTAAGTCAATAGTGTTCCATCAAAGTCCAAAATTGGCTAAATGTGTTTAATAACAATTCTTTGAGATTTTGCAAAACTTATTACTGTAGCTTTACGTTTTTAAAATTGTTGAAATAAGCGATTCGGATAATTGGAGATTCGGTTAATTGGAGTTCGGATAATTGGAGTTCGGATAATTGGAGTTCTACTGTATTTGTAAACATATCAGTGACAGCTAGAAAAAATAATCTTGATACGAACAGCTGTTCGTTATTTCATAGATGGTTATGTGATAAAAATTTAATGAAAATGTGACAAAAATCGCACAAAACTGCATTTTTGACTATCCGTCATTTTATTTACAAAGTAGTGAGGCCATATTTTAATGGCTAAAGACGCTCTCTCCAATCCAGTGAATACACTAAATTGACTTGGATCTTGATAGGTACTCCCGCTTTCATGGAGAAGATAGCGTAAAATGCCACCTTGGGTGTTACAGACAGAAATAGAGATAAGACTTGTCTATGCTCCTTTAATGTATAAAACGTAAAAATAACCTAAACAATTTAATTCTGAGCAATGTACAGACAAAATTCAAATTTTATTTATATAGATTATGATAAAAAAATAATAAGAGACCATACAGACCAGGTCAATAGTGGATCTGTTGATATTTGCACAACGAACTGTTCCGTCAAAACTTGTAGTGAACAACTCAGAAGGGTTGTTGTGAGAGACTGACACGCAATTGACAGGACGCATGTGAGGAGTGAACTGGACAACCTGACTGTTGTTTACATCCCACAATCCTGCCAACATAAGAAAAAGTTATATCATCGGGGACTAATGATGATTGGGCATTATTTTAACAACACATTTGAAACACAATCAAAGTCAATAAGTTAAATATTCTGAAGAGTAGAGTAAAATCTATGCTATACAGGGTGGTAATAAAGTCCGAAGACAGTTAAATGTTTTCTAAATGACAACAGATAAATCAATAAGATTTGGTACATCAACACCACACCTAAAAATCTACTTTTTTAAAGAAATATCAATTTTCTGTCATATCGCCCTGCAAGGAGTCAGAAGGAAATCTTAAATAGAGGCATAGGTTGACATGTACATCAAATTAAAGGTCTTTACCAGCAGAATATAATGCCACAAATTTGAACTCAAACGGACAACCGAGCCAAGAATGACAGTTGTTCAAAGATTCATTTAATTTGCATTGCTATTATACGCTTACTCCTCAGGGGGCACAGCCCTAGGAATCGGAAGAACATTTTTAACGTAAGCATAGGTCAATATGCACATCAAATTAAGGGTCTTCACTATTAGATTACAATGCCGTAAATTCAAGCTCAAAAGAACGCCTGAGTAAAAAATGACAGTCGTTCAAAGATTCAAAATGGCAGATTCAAGAAATCTTTGAACGGCTGCCATTTTGCGCAGGATCAACCTTTTGAAGAGCGGTTTGCAACATTGTATTCTACTAAAAAAAGACCTTTCATTTGATGTGCATATTGACCTATGCTTCCATTTAAGATTTTCTTCCGACTCCTTGTCCTTGTTGTTGTTTTGACTCCTTTGGGCCGTCCCTCTGAAGAGTCATTGGATCACTGAATATGTGTTAAAATAAAGTTTTATGCTCTGTAACTTTGTACCAAGTATTGTAGCTCTATCTACATTATTTTTTTTATATTTAACTGTCTTCGGACTTTATTACCGCCCTGTATATAATTCAGTTTCAAAAATCTTTTTACAACTAAATCTAGAGTTCTACTGGACTGATTTTATTAATTAATGGGTCGTTGGAAAGCTTAATTTGTGTAGATTTACAAATAATTATGAAAGTTTGATTTAGTCATGATTTATGGTAAAAAAAAACATGAATTCCATAAGAAATACATTGAAAACGGTGTTCTTCACACTTTTCATTTGTGTGCGACTTTTGACTGCCTTTTTTGAGTAGGTATTCAAATGGAAGCTGGCATTTCACTGAAGGTTCTTAGGTCAAAATTACCTGCTTTTGGGTAATCTTTTGGAGAACGGAAAGTAGGACAACGTAATTAGAATTGAGTAAATATATCTAAAACTAAATTCCATATCAAAGACATAATCAAATTTATGTTTTCTGATTGAGTGATACAGTATCTTGAACTTAACTGATTAAAACTATCAATATCTCAAATGAAAACCTTTATTTCTAGAAATATTTTAAGACCAAGGGTATTACATTACATATAAAATGACTTAAATAAAAATAGAGTTGCGTATCATTGATTGCAGATAAGTACAAAAACGATTATAATTATTGTTGATTCATGATTCAGCAGGGTGCTTTAGGTAGTCCGATCTTAATAATCAATAGCTCAAATGAAAGCTGGTATTTCACTAAAGGTTTTTAGACCAAAACATATAGGGTAATGTAATTAGAGCTGCTGGAATACATCTTTAATCGAAGTAAAAAAAATCAAATATATATTTTTGTCTTGTACGGTAATACATTTAGATAAATTAATGATGATACTTGATGAAAAATATGTGCTTGCATAGCTTTAGTTTAAGGCAAAAATTATGAAAATCGGTCGGGTAGAAGAGCCAAACGAACTTGAAAAAAACCAAATTGAACTCCCATAAGAAATGTACAGGGTCTGTGCATGGATCTAAATATACGTTAAAATGAATACCGATGCTTAATGGCAAATCTGTGGTGCGTAAATACCATTAGCTTAAGGCCAAAATTGTGAAAATCGGTCGGGTAGAAGAGCTAACCCGACTCGGAAAAAAAACAATAGATGAAAATAATTGGTTAACATTTTTTTTTTTTTAGAGGTTTGCCCACCCACACCCACATAGACTACAGATCTGTGCGTGGAACATATCCAGCTAAGCAAGGGGTGAGCCGGTAGGCCTACAGTACAAAGGTGAACTGTACTGATAAAAACTGTACTGATTATACATAATCTAATCATACGAAACATGTGTTAATAATTAATTGAACAGCTTATTATTATATTGTTATTTAATTGATTTTTCTTTGATTGAATGTTGTTGTTAACAATTTGCATTTGTGTCTAAAGTGTGTTCCTTATGTTAAGTGTGTGATTCTAATGTTATGTGCTTAATCTGTATGTACCATTAATATTAAAAGTAAAGTGGTGTATGGATTTCATAACCAAAATTTTACAAGAGACCGTTGTATTTAACCACAACGGGCTCTTTTGATAGTTATACATATAACTAATAAATTATTTATAATATCAATTTAATTTTACTTTGGAGAATAATTAGGATGGACAATCAAACCTCAAACAGTTAATTTTATTCTAGTTTGTAAGATGTATAAACAAGTTGGCTTGGTTGACTAAAATTACCAACTGAACATATATGAATCAAACAAACATGAGAGTTAAAAACAGACAATTGTGAACAAATTTACAACATTTTAAAATGAGTAGACATTATTACTATGTCCCTTGATCAGTAAAAAAATGTATTCTTACCTAGTTCTCCTTGAGTACTTCCGACAACGATCAATAGTTTGTTTTCCATTGGATGAACACACATACTATGTACTTTGGATTTGGTTACTTTTTGAAGAGTTGCAAACTCTAATTTTCTCATGTCTTGAATCAAGCTGAAAACATCACTGGGATGAAATATGACAATCAGTAAACAAACTGTGAAATAATACTACTAGTGCATTGAATTGACTCATCTACAATGTTCCCTACCGATTGTCATCTATAGTTGACACCAGACTTGAGGTCACTGCCACTCAAGGCGTATGAAAGAAGGTGTGTGCATAGTGACGTCAGTGCGAGTAAAACGTGATTTATTTTACCAAATCATATGATTTCTTGTAATTTCCCAAAGACTTTCGAATGACAATCATTACCAATACGCGTTGAATATATAACCATTGACTTTATTTAACACAATTTAGTTTTATATATCATGTATACCATTGTATTCAACATTGAATATACTTTATTATAGTAGTGTTATACAATATGGCAGTAGTCTAGAACATTTGATAGTAGTAAGTACCATTTAATCGAAAAACAGTAAAGCAGGTAAGCAGTAGCAGTAAATTTGATACAAATACTTTAATACTTGATACCCTTGCTCAAAGCCATCTGTGGGTTAAAAAACAATTGCTTCAATCCGTTTGTTTTGCAATCCAGATTCTTTCGGGGACCGATGAAACTTTCCTCCAGAGCAACTACTTTTCTTGTTAGAATTACCACATCCAAAAACAGCGCAAATCAACATTGCCAACTAATTAACTTAATTTTTAGGGATCTTCAGTGGCCTAGTCCTGCATAACATACAGCTCGGCTGTAGCATCAGCTATGCATTGCACACACCTTCTTTTTTATATGCCTTGCCGTCCCGGATCTTACCATGGATAAGCCTACTACTGTCATAGCTTATTCCCTATGTGGGAAATTCAATAAAGGGCCACCAACCACTGAAATATATATATATATATATATATATATATATATATATATATATACATATTAATAGCCATGTTTGATCGTTGCATACGATGTTGGCAACGCCATAATAATTAATTGCAGTCACGTTATTCGCGTCTAACACAATCGCGGCAACATCCGCGATAATCTACTGTGATTATCTCAGCATACATGACTATAGGCCTATTTGTGTTTGCGCCCATATCTCTGATCATATCTTAATCGCGGCGAGATTCGTCATGATTTTCCGTATCGCGGCAACAGCCGTGATGATTTCTGGTGATGGCGGTGACGACCTGTATTCGTGATCGTTTGCCGCGGTCACGATTTTTCACTTCGCAAAACGAAAGAGGCTATTCGGTAAGCTGTAAGCTTCTAGTAAATTTTTGAAGTTATTAAGAAAAACCATAGTCCGAGGGGTTCCCCTACGGCTTTAGTAGTTTAGTGCTTGGGTTTAGTGTATGCCATTAACGTGTAATAAAATCGCCACAACTTGAGCTATAAGTTATATCATTTTATGCTATTTTTTTAATATATGTAAATACAATCTTGTCAATTTATTTGTAACTATTTATCTTCCACTAAGGCTACTTAAATGAGAGATTTTCAATCATATAAAACATAAGTAGGAGCTGAAAAAATGTATTATAATAAACACTATTTGCATATGGTCACCTAAAAATATATTGCCTGTTAGGCAGACACAGTTACAGTATTTACTGCTTTACTGTTTTTCGATTAAAAGGTACTCACTATCGAAAATGTTATATACTACCACCATTGAAAATACTATACAACACTACTAAAGTATATTCAATATTGTATATAACACTATATTGGATATAAAACGCTAAATAGTGTTATATAATCAATGCTAATTCGTAATGATTGTCATTCGAAAGTCTTTGGAAAATTACAAGAAAACATATGATTTGGTAGAATAAATCATGTTTTACTCACACTGACGTCACTATGCACACGCCTTCTTTTATACGCTTTGACTGCCACTGCCCTAAACTGCGGGCCAGATTTCCCTATTGGACTAAACTAATTGAATGAACATACCTACAGAGCAATCTTTTATAGAAGTTTTTCTGATCAACCAGGGTCTGAATAATATTTATTTACATGAAATAGCAATAAAAAATCCAATCATGAATTTAAAGAAAAATTATTTTTGTCGACTATTGTTGACAAGGGTCCATTGCTTATTTTGTAGTAGCCTATGCATCGATATCTTTATCCATTTGTAGTAAGTTGATCTTTATCCATGATATACATACACAAATACCCCCGCCGCAGCAAACCTGCAGACTAAGTGAATTTGCTTTTGCCCGATTGGATTTACACTAAAATGTCTCCTTAAAAATATCACATTTATTTCCTATTTAAATATAATTTGTTTAACAAGCACTTTGGTTTGTTGCAACAGGGAGGGTAAAAAAGTGTTTTTTTTTTTTTTGTCAAATGTTAATAGTTTAGTAAGATATGAATGCATTTTCCAAATTTGATCAAATTATGTTCATAAACAAGCAAACTACAAAAGTTTACTTATTCTCCATAAGAATAACATGGGAATTTTAAATTAATTTTTTTTTATTTTCTCCGTAACCATTAGGCGCATAACAACTATTCAATATACTAAAGTATTTTTTTTTAAGCTCTACTAAATAGTTTGGAAAGAAATTGCTAAATGTTATGTTTTCGGGTCAAAAATGGGGAAAACCAATTTTTACCCCATAAAACCCCGTTTCCAGTCGGGTAATGCTGGTTTGCAAACTCGTTAGAATAAATGTAGGTTTACACATTTATACCAAATTTCATTAAAATCGGATCATTTTTGCTTGAGTTATCGTGCTAACGGATATATATATATATGAATTTGAACAGATGGTGTTTTTGGCCTCTAGGGACCTCAAAACAAAAAAGTAAATTGGTCCCAGGTCCAGGTCTTACCATGAGTACTACGGTAATAGTTTATTCCCTATATGGGAAATTCGCTAAAACAGGCCTGTTCTAACCAAAGTTTCCGACCGCACAGGTAGCAAGGGGCATACTGAAGCTGACGATGGTGTTTTAGGCTAACATACACCGAAACATGTTCTAATTTGACAACAAGGATTACGTAAGTAATTTAGTCTTACATTAATTTATATTATTTTAAAAAGTCCCAATGCCGGATCCCGAATTCCGAGATATCGGTTGATTTTTGATATCTAGAAATCTCGGGATTAGCAGTTTTAATCCCAGGATTAGCTGGATTACAAAACCTATATTTTATTTATTATTTTTATGAATTTGAGGAGTTTTACTACTGGAAAGTAAAAAAAAATAGTCTTGTAACTTTTGTTATATTCTTACTTAACTATGGAATAAATAAACACCAATTCAATAACCACCAATAGTGTTTATTTATTTTTGCTTATCCTGTACTACTAACAGGACGGTATATACGTACAACCTAAGTTATGGGATTCGTACACATGCTGCTACATAAGCAGGTGATTTATTTTTTGTACCTTAGATTGTTTTAATACTGTAAACATAATAATTTCCGGTAGCCAATAGGATATAAGTATGGAGGCCATTCAAGATTCTTGTTATTCGACTATTGAGTGTGATGATGATTAGAGTGTCCAATCGAAATCGATCACCATTACCATCTCATATAGATATTTACCATCTTGTTTATAACAGAATAAGTGTAATACATGTTTCAAGTGTTATTAGACATATTTTTATTTATCCTCTGTAAAACTAATAACACATATTATGCTGATTAAGAAGTTAAAAAGTGAAAATAATAAAATATCAAAATCCAGATATTGATCCCAGGAAAAACTTGGACAAATCCTGAAATCCTGGGTTTGGATTAAAGCCCCGGGGTTGAGACACCTATTTGAAGAGGTCTGGGTCAACTAACACATCGAGACCTGTAGAAATTTGCGTGGAAGAGAAATGCTTTCAATTGTACGAAAAAATCCCCTACCTTGAAACCCCAGTAACAGTATATTTAGGGGTTGTTATAAAATATTTGTTCTTTATCAGAATTAAATCAGTTCTTCATTAGATAATATTTTGTAAAAGTTCTTTATTTTAAACGAGTTCTAACATTTTGGCGACCGTGACAGGACATTTTCTTTAATTTAAGACATCTGGGTTATTTAATAGTTATAATAATATGGAAAGCCTAGAAAATATGAAAAAGAAAAGATCACAGATTAGAAGGCTATTCACCAAGGTTTATAATGAACTGGAAGAAGCATTTAATAATGAAGACCGACAATGAATGATAAAGAAACTCAAATAAAAGTAAACTTTTCTCAAATTGAAGACAAAATAACATCATTAATGGCAATGGATGGAAAAATCTCTGATGAAATGCTGATGAAAGATGCTTCTGATGCTGATCTGGACAATGAACTGGACACACAAGAAGAATACAAGAAGAAATGGTACCTGATTAAGGCTAAGTATGAAATGTTTCTTAAAACACCTACCAACAATGATGAGTCAAACATTTACAGACCAAACCGTAACTTTCATTTGCCTAAATTGCAATTACCTTCATTTGATGGGGATGTTAGGAATTGGATTGGGTTTTGGGGTCAGTACAAAAAGATTCATGAAGATAGTAAAATGAAACCTGAAGACAAATTTCAGTATTTAATTCAATCCTTGAAACCTGGTTCATCAGCTAGGGGATTAATAGATTCTTTTCCTCCTTCTGGTGAAAATTACATCAAGGCTATTGAACAATTGAAATCCAGGTTTGCACGTGATGAACTTTTGATTGAAGTTTATGTAAGAGAATTACTAAATTTAGTTTTGAAACAAGCCAACAAACAAAGTATCATGCCCCTTTCAACCCTTTCTGATAAACTTGAGACTCAACTTCGTGCCCTAGAAACACTCGGGGTCACATCAGATAAGTATGCTGCCATGCTATATCCACTGGTTGAATCTGCTCTACCAACTGATACTCGGAGAGCATGGGAGCGGTACAGAACAACGAATAAAATAGGATTAGGTGAATTTATAGGTAGCGAGTCATCTAATTCAAATTATTTACAGCTGTTGTTGAATTTTGTACGTTCTGAGGTCGAAAGCGAAGAACGTTTAGCTCTTGCTCGGAACAGCTTTGCAGTCGACAGAGACATTACACCAAGGGACACCCAGCCACAGAACAGATCTTACCATCACCAACGTCCTGGTATGAAAAGTGAGTTTGAGAAAGGACTACCTTTACCTACAGCATCTACAATAGTTGCTACAGACAGCTCTTCAGTGGTGAGTAAGCCTACATGCTTATTTTGTAATAAAGGAAATCACAACACTCAAGACTGTTCTGGGTTACAAAAGCTCACTTTGAAAGAAAAGAGAGAGTTTGTGACAAAAAAGGGAGCTTGTTTCTCATGTTTAAAGTTAGGTCACACCAGTAATAAATGTAAAGTTTTTGTATCCTGTGCTATCTGTAAAAGGAAACACTACTGCTTAATGTGTCCTAGTTTAGAGAAAATGATGCACAGTAATACTCATGATTATGACAAATCAAATGTCATTGAAAGTGTTCAAATTAATGACAAATCTGAGTCCTTGATTGCAAATCAGAATAAGGAAACCTTATTACAAACTCTTCTAGTAAAAGTAATAGGACCTGACCAGCAATCTTTACTAGTAAGAGCATTGTTGGATTCTGGATCTCAAAGGTCTTATATCTCAAAGGACTGTGTAGAGAAACTTAAATTAATAGAATCTGGTGAGGAATTAATAGTTCATGGTTTGTTTGGAGGTATTAAAACTAAAGAGACTCCACATAATCTTTACCAAGTAGAGTTACGTGACACAAAGGTTAAATTTGGCATTTCAGTTAATGTGCTTGATCAAGACAAGATTTGCAATTACATACCCAGATTAGATACAAAAAGGTATTTTCCTATTTTAAAGAAGAAGAATATATACCTTTCAGATATTGGACAAGATGCAGCAGAAGAAATACAGTTACTACTAGGAGCTGATATCTTGGGCCAACTTCTCACAGGTAAAATTGAACAGCTAGATCAAACTCTGGTTGCTGTTCAGACTGTGTTAGGATGGACAGTAACGGGACAATGTGGAAAAAGTTACCAGTCACTTATTAGCATTAGTTGCTTTGCTAAAATGGACATTTCAGATCTATGGCGTTTAGATGTTTTGGGCATCACTGATCCATCAGGTAGTAAAACAAAGGAGGCGAATGCATCAGATGTCTTGGAGCATTTTAACAAAAATATTGTAGTAAATAGTGAAAATAGGTACGAGGTGACTCTTCCATGGATTGAAGGCCATCCAGAGCTTATGGACAACAAAGTTACAGCCGAGAAGCGACTACATGCAGTGACCAAGAAGTTGATTAAGTTAGAAAAGTTCAATGAGTATGATCAGGTATTTTCAGAGTGGTTAAATTCAAACATTATTGAAAGGGTTGTTGAGTCCTCTGTAACTGATAGACCTGTACACTACTTACCTCATCACGCTGTGGTCAAAGATTCCAGTTTGACTACTAAGGTTCGACCAGTCTTTGATGCTTCTGTAGTCGATAGTAGGGGGAATTCTCTTAACTCTTGTTTGGAAAAGGGACCTAATTTAATAGAACTAATTCCAGCTCTTCTAATGAAGTTTAGAAAACACCCAATAGGCGTTATTTCAGATATTAAGAAAGCTTTCTTGCAAGTCAGTTTAACAGAAAGTGACAGAGACGCTTTAAGATTTTTATGGTGGGAGCGACTTATTGGAGTGGTAAAGGAAATTTTACGAGGAAACTTGGGAAATTCTTCAGTCACGCAGGAAGAACTCTCAACAATTTTGTGTGATTGTGAAGCAACTGTAAATTCAAGACCTTTGACTTATCTTTCGAATGATGATGACTGTTTACAACCATTAACTCCAGCCTTATTCTTACAACCAACATCAACAGCTGAATTACCAGATTTGGATGAAATTGAGTGTCTAAGTTTCAATTAAAGAGTGCGTTATATAAACAAATTAAGAAGATCACTAAGAGACAGGTTTAAGAAAGAATATTTGGCTACACTCGTTCACAATGGAAAAAAACAAGAAAAGTAGAGAACCCATTATTGGAGAAGTTGTATTGATAGGAGATGATAACACAAAACGAATAAGATGGCCTTTGGGGTTGGTACAAGATGTATATCCAGGAAGAGATGGATTCTCCAGAGTCGCAAGACTAAAAACTGAAAATGGTATTTTGACAAGACCACTACAAAGACTTTTTCCATTAGAAATCACTGCTTGTGAAAAAGAGTGTATGAAAGAAAATAAACCACTTGAAGAAGAAGAAGTAGTTGAAAACGAAGTCTTTGATTTCGCTAAGAAGAAAACCAGATGTGGAAGAGAAGTAAAAGTGCCCCAGCGATTTTACTGATTTAAAATTGCACATAATTGTTTATCAATTTTAAATGGGGGGAGGATGTTGTGAACTTTATTGAATATGTTTTCACTTCATTGATTTTCCTTTTGATCTGACTGTTATATTTTTTCTAAACTACTGTGTTTTGTTTTACCACATGTTAAATATTTTGTATTGAATTAATTTAATTGTTTAAAGGTTGAGTTAAGACTTTGGAATAAATAAAGAAGCCTACTAATCTGTTTGTGAAATAATTATTTTATCATTTCTGGTAATTATTTCAAGATTCAAAACAGGGGTTATTCCATTAAACCTACAACTAACAACCAAGTTGATAAAATAAACTGTAGTACACTTGTGACAAGCAATAAAGTGTAAAATATTTAGTTTTACTTTCACTTTTCACGTTTTTTAGTTTCACTTTATCAGTTCCAAAAGTAACCTTCGTCAACGTGTTACATGATTTGGCGAGCTGCCATTGTCAAACACTTTATCACAGGAATATGTAGATCCGCTTAAATAGCTTTGTTCCCATAGCACATTACACGACAAACAACATTTACAAACGACACGTACGACATAAAAATAAATACTTTTAGTTTGATAGGCCTATCACGAATATTCAACATTGCCGGTACACGAGCGGGAAAGGTCTGTTCCCGCTGATAGCAATATCACCCGATTTCAAAATTTGAGCAGATGCTTCAAACCCAGGCAGCAATTCAGATATTAGCAGCCTTATTTGAATTTGAGGGAGATTACATTTTAGAATAAGTTGCAAAGCAGTATCAAATGACAAAATTACCTATCAGTGGATTCCATACTGGATTGGCTACTCGATCCTTGGGACAAAGACAGTTTTAAACTGTCAAGGAAATCTGTAATCATGCCATCTTCGTTCATTGGAAGTGACTCTGAAACAGATTTTATTTGATCAAATTCATTGCTTGAATTTTTTACCCACTTTGAATAATAAAAAAAAATAATAAAACTGAATCTTTCACATCTAATTACTATATATTTCTCATAATAATAGCACATACACTTGTGTGACGTTTAGAATAGAAATGAAAGACAATAAAAAGTACAGGGTCTTTGGGAACTGACTTCATAACAATTGAAACTAATTTATATTTATTATATTGACATACATTGCCTTTTCTATGTATTGGTAATGTAAGTTACCAGCATGGTTAAAGTATTAAGACTACACAGTTTATTTAAAAAAACCCCAATCTTACCCCAACTTATAATCTAATATTTGGAAACAAAGTGCCTTACTTTTTCAAGATTAAATATATTTTTTCCATTTCTTTGTTTTCAATTCTGCGATCCTATTGTAAATTTAAAAATTCTGTTTGGGACATTTGGGTAGGTAGTCTTTGGACGAGTGGTCTTTGGAATATGAGTTAAGATACGAGATCTATGCAGACGAGTCATGCATGCAATAGTGTCCAATCACTTGATATCGATTTTTGGACCAGACATCCTTGTCATTTGTAGAACAGTCTTTATCAGCCCAAGCAAAAACCAAATAAATTATTTCTGAGTTCAAAAATATGGTTCCGTTTAGTTGAAGAATGTCTTTATGAACTAATGGTTCTTGCAGTAGTCAACTTGTCAACAGGCTATTTCAAAGCAAAATTATATTATATGTTACTTCCTCATTAGAATGTACCTTACAAAATGTTCACTGTCTATAAGGAATTTGATTGTCAAATAAATATTTGTATATAAATATAAATTAACCAAATGTAATGTTTACGTGTTAGTTATTTACATTCCTAGCAATTACTTCACCATTACCTAAATAAATTGGAATTTCCAAAAGAAAAATTATGCATTTGTTTCTCTATTTGGTGGTGTTTCTTAGTATTTGTCTGTAGGAGCAAAATTTATTTAAAGCAACTAGACAATTTGTGTAATTGTGTAATATAAATATCCAAAATGTGCACACAAATAAGAAAACCTATTCTTTAAGTAAATTATACAATTTTTTTAAGTTAAAAAGGGTTCCTACGGTATGTCTGAATCACAAACAGCAATCAGTGTAAAATTATAGAGATAAATTAATCCTTTCAAGATGTAAAAAAAGTTTTATAAATCCTTAAAAACTATTCATTAGGGCTCTGGGGGTAGTGAAATTTTAGGTTCGGGCAGATTCGGGTCGGGTACTGAAAAGATCACTTCGAGTCCGGATAATTTTCGGGTTGGGCTCAAAACGACCAAAATTCAATATTCGAGTATTTTTTGGGATTTTATTGATATTTTACTAAGCAAATGTTTCATGCCTGCTCTTAGAAATAATTTATTTTACCAGCAGGGCCTATCAATAATACTAGGGTGGTCTGCCGTTACACTTTAGACGCATAAATGAGCGAAGCATTATTTTAAGATTGTCAATGGCTAAAGCAGCTAACAACCTACAATATGTTTCCTTTCAACAGATTCACCGTTTGTTTGCCCGATATTATTTAAGTTCTAAAGAATGACAAATTTATCTGATAGTTCATTTATTTAGTTAAGAATAAGAATTGATAAAAGGTTATTAGACATGTGTGTTTACGGGTGCTGATTTCTGGTCGACCACATTAGTCTCTGAACGTGATCCCTTTGACGAGACTGCGCAATCATAGGCACCGATGTTTCTTCAACTTGGTCTTCTTCGATTTCATCAGGACTTTCTTGGTTTTCACGTACACACGGTACTCTCATGTGAACAAAATCATTGACTGGTAGTTGGTGTAGCGCTTCATCACTAATGGTTATGTCAAAATATAATGGGTTATTTGCCTTCAGCCAAATAAGTGCTTGCTGTAGTTTTTCACGTCGAACTTTGAAATCGATATGGCCAAAGACGCCTTACGTTGGACAATAATGACTTTTAAGATTTCGGGCAGTGTAGGTAAGACAGATGCTATTTCATTAATATCTTGCTCAACATTAATGATGTTACCTTTGTAGTGAAACTGGCAATCCTGACCATTTGCTTGTACTTTGTAAATGCGCATAGCGGGATGTACTCGTGCAATCAACATTTGTTCTACAATCGTCAGGTCAGTTAATTCGTTCGGGACACTTGACACATCCATATTATTTAACGCCGTGAATTTAGTTGCATTTGAACGACAACACGAACAAATCGGTGATTGGTTTGAAGCTGTTAGTTGTTGGCGATGACAGTTAGTGCAAGTGTAAAATTTTAGTGCATCTAATTCATGTTGGAATTGATTAGCTAACTGCCTATCATTATCAGCTTCTTCCGCCACTGCTTCATCTGGTTCTTCTTGTTCACGACGCCACTCTCTTACAATATTTGCATTATTGGTGCGACGACCAATATTACGATGTGGCCTTTGAGGCATGCTCAAAAAAATATAGCAAATCTGTTACTTCCATTGATAAACTGTTACATTCCAACTTTAACCTAGGATGAAAGTAAACATTGAAATGTAAACAAAACATTTACAAACAATTAACATATGTTTATCTTATTTAAATGAAAAGAGAAACCCATATGTCATAAACCCAATATAATTTTTCTTTCAACTTGACATTTCAATTTTTCTTCTTACAGAGACTTGATAAACATCTTCTGTAATTATGGGGACGAAATGATATCTTTCACGGGAGCACTGGACACCTTCTGCGAACACGGGGACATCATGAACATCTTTTGATATTAAGAAGGCAAGAAGGCATTATCAACATCTTCCCCGATTGTTGATCACAAACACATAATGTGATGTCAGCGAAATCCTAAGCATCTTTTGAGATCGTTGCAAGATCCTTTTGTCAAGGGGGGGGGGGGTTATGACCCCCCAAAACTCTACCCTTGGCTACGCCACTGATACTTGGCAGTGGCATACTGCCATAGTTGGGGGCCTGAGGCGGCTTAGATGAGAGGGCCTTTTTTACAAACATATATATAAGTGAAATAATAAATACCATAGTACCCTGTTTAAAACCATTGGGTTTTTTCTGTCACTTCTTTTATTTTTGTTTATTTAGGAGATAGGCCTACTATTTTTGTATAAAATACATGTAATATAATTGGTCCAAATGACTTCTGCAATCGGGGCAAAAATTAACGATACTGTACTCGGTGAAGACGAAATCGTGAGCGTCCGTGTTTGCGGGGTCGTAATCTCCGTCTCCCGCGGTCGTGCGGGTTATCTACCAGACCACAGGGAAATCATTCCTATGTTTACGGTGGAATACTGAACTAACATCTTTCGCGGACGCAGGGATATATTCTACATGCGGGTTTTGTTAACATCTCCTGCGGACAACATTATCGGCCCCCGCGATCGTAGAAAAATCGTGAACACGAAACATCTTTTGCGGTTGCGAGACCTTAATTATCGTCTTCCTCAATCCCTGGGAGTCGTGATTTTTGATCGCGCAATCTTTGCAGACACCTGCAGCGAATGTGAGATCAGATTATTATATTCAAACATCAAAATTTATTTTCCAAGAGAAAATATGTTTTTTGAGATCCAATTGAGGCCCCTTCCTAACGATGAGAGGCCCTCGGCAATCGCGGCACCGTGTCCGCCGCTGGGGGATATTATGGTACGCGACTGATACTTGCCAAGTTATTTTGAATAACACGAGTTTCTACAAATCTGTTTATTGAGTGTTGTTCTCAGCTTCTAGTGTAAAGTTATTATGAGTTATTGTGTTGTTCTATTAGTTATTGTGTTGTTCTACAAGCTAAAGGTTATTCAATGAGATCGCATATGGATACTACTATTGAATACAGTTATAGCTTCCTTCCCTACACGGGTATTAGCTTTTACCTTTATTCAACTTACCTTCTTCTATTCTGGTTTTCTCCTCAATCTCAGGAGTTTCTGGTGTTTCTTCAAACGTCAGCGGCAAATCTCTGCCTTCAGGGGTCTTCCTTAGAAGGCGAAGTGACCTCTTCCTTGGCTCAAGTTTACTTTAAAACAAAGCATATTTGTATTAAATCTGTGTGGAAAGTAAGAACAGATCAATTACAGAAATCAACGAGACTGCAAAAATGTTAAACATATACAATAATATGATCAGTATGATGTATTTTGTTCAATGAAAAAATTAACAATAGGTTTATCAGAAACTGAGGTTCTAAAATCTTACCTTTAAACTAAAACAAAAACAAATTATAAAATAAGCTGTACAGTACCTAATTTTATTTTTCAGACATGTTTGCAAATCAATAACAGGAATAACATTCATATTGGTAACTCAACAGAATTTAAGGAAAATCTAAACACTTGTGTGACTGATCTCACTGATTTTTAAAACAAGGTTTGTGAGGTATAATTAATCATTGATATTAATATACCTACCATTATTTTTAAGCATTAGCTTATTGTTTATTTTCATAATGAAGAAAAAGTTCATTTAAAAAAATTCAAGAATTCCATTAATTGTACGAATTGAGTATTAATATCAGTATATTTATGTTATCAGGTTTCTACAAAACAAAAAATAAAACATAGGCCTATACTTTTTATACATACACTTTTTGAGCAGGCTTGCTTTTTGGTTTAGTTGGTTTGGGTTTCATTGTTTCTTCTTTTTGTTCCTTTTTTGGATTCAACAGTCCTAGTTCCCTAAAAATCAGAAACAATTTCTAATTTCCAAGTACCAGTGTATAGACTATAGTATATTTCATAACTACTGACTGCCTGGAGTGACTCTTTTCAGCTTTTGACAGGCTTTGCCTCCGACGGGAAGTAATCCAATATTTATTCAATATATTATGGTAATGAACACACACAAATTGGTATACTCAAACAATAGAACAAAAATACAGCTGATTTCCTCGACTCCAGCTGATAGATTTTTCTACTTCAGGAGAAATTCCATTTACCTGACTGGATTTCTGCCATAATATTCCTTAACATTTTCAGACTTATTTCTTATATAAATAACATTAATATTAGTAAGTACTTTGGTTTGCGGCTACAGGGAAGGTATTAACTATTAAGGTGTATTTTTGTATGAAATTTTGATAGCTTAGTATGAATATGAAATAAACAAAATTGCCAAATTTGATTACCTACAATATTTCCATAAACAAGTAAACAACAACAGTTTATTTATCCTCCGTAAGAATAACATGGGAATTTAAAATTTAAAATTGTTTGAAATATCTCTGTAACCGTTGGGCATACATCACATTGGACAGACAAAAAACATATGTGTCGAAATTATTACAGTTCATTTTGTTATAGCAGCTGGAAAAAGACAAAACAAAATATAAACCATAGATTATTGAAATCAAATGTTTGAATACTATATCTAATAATATCAAAACCATCACCTGATGTTTTTAATCAATTTATTTTGTATATAGTCAGGTTGGATATCATTTTATTCTCGTAAATGTCTAAATGTCCAAAACATGTCTTGTTTGTGAAATAAAAAATTAATTTCAGGGTGCTGAGTTGGTATCAGGGGTGAATATAAATATTAAATAAAAAAGGGGGTTAGTAATAAAAAATTGGATAGTTTTGAAATCCTTGTGAAGGATGAACAACGGACTGAATTTTTTTGCAAATCTGAAGTAATGACTGTTGTAAATATACTTTTTATAAATATGTGCGTTTTTTTTTTTACTTTTAAAACTGCATTTTAATTCTTGTTTTCCTAAAGGAATAAACAAGAAATGTTATTATAGTAAAAATAAGATAAAGGGTGGTTAACATCTGGAATTAGAGTCTCACGCAAAAGGAAAAGGGAACTTACATGAACTTAGTAAAATGTACTAAGTTAAGTTTTAAAGATTATGTAATGAATAAGTACAAGAAATTATTAAATAAATTTATAAAATCAGCTAAGATATTGTACAACAGAAATCAGATTAAATAATCCTGTAACAAAACCAAAAAAGCCTGGTGTATTTTTAAATACCCCTGCCGCAGCAAACCTGCAGACTAAGCGAATAATTCCATTTGCCTGGTTTGATTTTCAATTAAATCTTTTCAAATAACATTAGGTTTAACGAGTACCTAGGTTTGCTACCTAAGGGAGAGTAATAAAGTGTGTTTTTAGTAAAATATTAATAGCTTAGTTCAAAATAAATAGATTTGCTAGATTTTGATCTAAATATATCCATAAACAAGCAAACTACAACAGTTTACTTATTCTCCATAAGAAACCTAGAAATTTTTATTTACAATTTTCTCTGTAGCCAATAATCATACAGTAACACTTCAATATAAATACTGTAGGCCTATAAATGAATTTGAACCGATGGTGTTTTTGGCTTCTAGGGACATCAAAATGAAAAAAAAAAAATCGGTCCCGGGTCCAAGTCTTAACATGAGACCTACGGTAATAGCTTATTCCCTATATGGGAAATTCGCTAAAAAGAGACTAATGCAGCTGACAACAAGAGAAAAGGATACCCCTTCTTGTTGTATTCAATGTCTGACAGGACACAAATAAATCAAATTAATGAATGTATTAATGACACATGTAAAAGCTTGAATGTTTGCTTAGATTCTTAACCCTAGGAGTGCCCATATGACGATTTTCGTCATATGCCTTTGCTTCCAAACCGCTCATATGACGAAAATCGTCATATAGTGTCAATTTTTTTTTAACAGCTCATAACTCATTTTTAACGGTTTCAAACCCAAATGATTTTGATACCAATCGAAAGATGAGATTCTAAACTTTCATTTTCATATATAAACAAACCTTATAGCAATAACAAATCGATTTTATTGTCGTTACAATTTGAATGAAAATTTAGGCGCGAGACTATTTTGAGGTTAGCGCGTCAATTTATTGCTCACTTTCAAAAAATCCTAGTGCCGATAATTTTGCTCGAATACCGTTGGAATTGGTACCAATAGAAAACTTGTTTTCTGGAGTTTATTTTCGTATCAAGAACTATGTTATATAATGTCAGACAGTTTGGGAAATAATTTTTAGAAATCAGCTGTCATTTTGAATGACGAAAATCGTCATATGGGGAAAGGCTTATAAATCAATGAAGCATTGAGTTTTGGTGGTGTGATTTTATATTCAATGGTAGCCAGAAACATATTGCACAGTTTGAACTACGCGGGGGTTGGCTGTGACGTCATTGGCAGGTCAAGAATTAGTTGTTTTGTTGTGAAACGGTGACGATTGCCATTACTCTTCTCTTTGTGCGTCTGACTGCTGTCGTTGTGTAATCGCGTCGTGCCATCAGCTGTTCTCTGTTGTTTACAAGTGAATCATTGTGTAATTGTTTCTGTAAATGTGTTGTTTTCTTTAGTATATTATGAGAGAACTGTTTTGATCCACCTAATTATTGATAATAGATACTATTTGTGAACAATTTACTGAAATTTTGTGTTGGTAAAAATAAAACAATTGAGGCCTAGGACACGTCAATAGACAGGTTACTTGGTGAACCAAGTGATTTGGAGAATGAAATCGCTACACAGACAGGAATAATAGACTGTGGAATTGCACCCTTCAGCGATGAAGAGGATGATGTTGACGACCCCTCTATTCCAACTCCTGTGGCTACTTCCACACCGGAAAAACCAAAACAGATGATGCCATGGTTCGATGCAGTACCCGGTTCTAGCAAAGACAATGTACCTCCACCCTTCATCGGATTTGAATCTAAGGGTAGGCCTAGGCTAAGGACAACATCGGGAACACTATACGCCGCCATGCGGAAACAGTTGGAGGAGGAAAGTGATGTTTCCGCGGAGGAGCTATTAGACTTCAGCTCTGGAAGTGAGGACGATTATGTTCCGGACATTGAACTAGTTGACGAACTAGAAACGAGTGCTAGAGAGGACATTCCGGCGGAGTTTCTTCCTAAGCCTAAAAAAAGAGGTTTTCCGAATTCGACCTGCTCCATCCGGACTCACCTCCCCCTATCGCCAGGAAGAAGCCGTCGACCCGACCAGATCCACCCCTCCAAGACCTTCGAAACCGTCTAACATACCGGTACCAGTACTACCCCCTCCAAGATCTTCGAGACCCACTAGGCCTACTCCAGCGCAGAGAGTGGAGCCTCCACCCCAACTCCACCCCGAAGAACACCTAAGAGAGATTGGGCCAGCACCACCTCCCAGACAGCCGGCACTTGTGAGGGAACTCCCCGCCGGAGAGCCACAGCCCCCTGAAGAGCTTGCTCCTAGGCATCAGGAGGGTCCATCCCGCCAGGAGATGCCCAGCGGTCCACCATGGGTCAGGATCTACCCCCCGGAGCAACCAATCGAAGTAAGATCCAAATTTGCTACTGATTCTACTGGCCCTAAAGATTTTGGTTTTTTGTTGAACCCAATAGAATATTTTTACCTTTTCTTTACTGCGGATATGTGGGACATGATTGTCACTGAGACAAACAATTATGCCCGCACCCGAATGGCTGATTTGGAAAGGCATGGTCTGTTGGCCCCACATTCTCGCCTTCGCAAATGGGCCGATGTGACAGTAAATGAAATGAAAAAATATTTTGCGATCCTATTTTCAATGGGCCTAACCCGGCTCAAGAACCTCACAGAGTACTGGAGTAACCACCCTGTACTGCACATACCTTTTTATTCCAGAACGATGCCATTCAAATGATTTCAAATGATAACGAGTATGTTTCATTTATCCTCTCGTGTATCTCCACCCCCAGGTCAAGAAGGGTATGACCCGTGGGTGAAGATACGGGATTTTATGGATATGTTGAATGACTCGTTCAAAAGATATTTTGTACCACAGCAGGAGGTGTGTATTGATGAATCGATGATCGGCATGAAAAACCGGACAGCGTTTATTCAATACATGCCTAACAAAAGGCATTCCCGTTTCGGAATAAAAAAGTTAGAACTCTGTGATAGTGTGACGGGGTATGTCCTACAGAGTGTTTTATACAGTGGCAAATACTTTTTGTCTGGGGGCCCTGATCCCTTCACCCATATAATAATAAAGTGGTTGCATATCTGCTTGGCAAAACTGGCTTACTTGACAAAGGCTACCACTTGTTTACTGACAATTTTTACACAAAGATTCGCTTGGCCCGTTGGTTGACTACTTGTAAAACCTATTTGACAGGGACGATCAACAAACGGAGCAAGGAATTGTCCAAAGTTGTGTTGGAAGCTGGTCTAGAGGTAGGTGAAGCTTTGTATTTCAGAAAGAGGATTGAACCTTCGATATCAGTCCTCCTTGTGAAATTCAGGGAGCGTGAAACCAGGAAACCGGTTCACCACAGCTATACATGCTGAAAACACTGTAAATGTCAGTGCAAATGGCCGCCAGTCAGTAAAGCCTCGTGTCATTCAGGTGTACAACAAATTTATGGGTGGCGTGGACAATGGACATGAAAGACAAAAGTCTTTACCACCTGTCAATGAGTCGTACTACAATAAAATATTGGAGGAAAATAGTCGACAATTTTATTGACATGGCCATGCTGAACTCGTACATTTTGTACAAGTGTCAACATGGCAACGATTCAATGGCCAGATTCAAATTTATTGTCAGTATAATTGCGGAACTGTCTTCCTCCAATATGCCTCCCCCTCTCCCGCCAATTGCTGGTCCGGGGGGCGATGTCCGTGCTCCGCATCAAATTGAAAGGCTACCTGGAACTAACACCATAACATGTGTTGTCTGCCTGGAGAAGAACAAGAGGTCCAGATCTGGTTACTGGTGTCCAACTTGTAAGGCAGGAGTTCATAAGTTTTGTGAACCAGCGATGACACACAATCCGGAGCGATACATGAATCGTCCAGGTCGCAAAAACAACTAAAGCAAGAGTTTATCCAGCAGGATAGGGTGCTAGTAAAATAATTTTGTATGTGCATGGTGTTATATTTTTATTTTGTTTGTACTGCTGTTTTATTAGTTGTAAATATTATCATGTTTGAAATGTAGGCTTACCGCATTGCATTAGTAGTATTGTTGATTGTTCCACCGTAAACCGTGTGAAAAAATAGTTTCACAAAATAATTTAGATTTCCATGTAGGGAAATAAGTTGCCTTCTATTTTTATCTACTTTCTTTGTAAAAACATTGTGTCCCTTCTATTTTATAGTACAAGAACAACTATTTGTTGTTTTTTTTTTTTTAGTTTTTGAACTTTATTTCAAAACATACTGCAAAAATGTTATTTTTCTATATTCAAATTGTCTCATCCCTTGTAAATATTTGTTTGTGTTTGGTCTTATTATATATTTTTATTTTGTACTGCTGTTTTATTATTTGTAAATATTATCATGATTGAAATGTAGGCTTACCGTATCGAATTAGTGTTATTGTCGATTCTTTCACCGTAAACCGCGTGAAAAAAATAGTTTCACAAAGTAATTTACATTTCCATGTAGGAAGATAGGTTGCCTACTATTTATATCTAATTTCTTTGTAAAAAAATGCTTAGCATTATAAGGGCACTTCCATTTTATAGTATAAGAACCAATTTTTGATTTTTATTTTAGTTTTAGAACTTTATTCCAAAATTTACAAAATTTTTAACATTTTTTATTCCATATCCGAATTCTCTGAGTCTTTGTGAATAAAACTAGAATGGATATGATGGGGCTAACTCTTATAGTTTATGCACAGAGGCCGTTTGAAATAACATCTGCAGATGCGATCCAATTAGGGGAAAGCGGAGGCATATCTGTAATGTACGTCTCACATCTAAAATGCTTATAGAACTTTTATTTCTTATTATTTATGTATACATATGTATATATTCTTGTTTGGAAATGTATTCTCTGTAAGTATATGTACATCTTATAATAATAAAATGCAATAAAAAAAAATACATACAGCTTTGAATGACTAATTTTCCCGTATGAAAAAACTTATATTTTCTTTTTCAACTCATATAAAACTTAGAAAACAGTTATTACTGGGCACTAAAGTGTATTATATCATATAACTATATTATCAACTTTACTTATATAACATTTTTTGTTCATTAGAATTATATTTGATGTTTCTGTGGTTCAAAAAATCAAAGTACATTTATCAATTTTTTACAATTTTACACATTTATTCCTGTAGATGGCATATTTTTTTTTTTTTTTTATCAAAAACCAAACATATTTCTACGTAGGGAAATAAATTGCCTACAATTTGTATATCTTGGATTTTTGAAAAATCTTTTTTTGAAAAAAATACCAAAACTCTACTTTTGAAAATTATGTAAAAAAAATTTGAAAATTTTATTTTTTCAACTGTAGCTAAAAAAACGCCCTTAGGGATTTTGATTTTATTACTTTATTTAAAATCTCCTTTTTTTTTGTCTACAAAATGAGTACCTATATGACTAGGCTATCATAAATAGTATAGTCACTGCAAATTTTTAAAGAAACCCCTCGCAAAATCGCAAAAATGGCTGGGACATTCATCCAAACCATCAGGGCACTCCTAGGGTTAAAAAGCTCTGCTGACCAAATAAAACCAAAGCTACACGTAGATTCCACAGTCGAAACGGCAGTTGGAACACTGGTTGGATCGTGTACGTGGTAACAGCCAGATTTAACAGACTTGACAGATGGACCGCAGACCTGACATGTCGGACTATGTATGGAGGGCTTTTTTCTTTTTTTGTCCCACCTTCACATCCTAGGACGCTAGTTCTAGCCCGGAAATGTTTTACACATTATACTTCAGGCTAGTCTTAGTGGGTTGCGACATTATCATATAGATAAAATACATTAGTGGGATTTGGGCACTGATGCCCCGCACTCTACCACTAAACCAGCTCGCTCCCCCATTATGTAGGGCTTAAGTTGGAGGGCTTAAATTTGAAATTCTTTAATTGTTAAAATAATCCCAAGTTATGAAGCTTTCTTATGGTTAATTTTTTTTCATCTAGCACCATAAAACTATGAAGTAGCTCATAGAAGCAAGGTACAGAGGATACAAGCTTATGGGACAACCGTGTGCTTTTAGCGCTCTGCTATGTTGGAGCGGAAATGTACTTGTTTCGAGAAAGGAAGAGCCTGAACGGGAATGGTCACATAATATTTTTGAATTGCAGTTGTAGCGCACAGGATCTTCCTACAGTGTAAGCTCTGTAGTACGTGATGGCAAGGGTGGAAAGGAGATCGGAAGGAAGTGACAAAAATAATTTGCTCTAGACACCAGCGATTGGTGATAAACACCGCTTAAGTGTACTATGGTATTGAATGTATCGTCTGTAGCTTACTTCTCTGTGGAAACAGTATCCCAGTGGTCATACCATGGAAACTGCAGGAATAGCTTGAATCTTATAGGGAATTCGCTAAGAGATTAAAAATAGCCTACCTTATTTATTATACTTTAGAACTTACATCATGATACGTCTGTTTTCTTCGAGGTTCTTCAACCTTAACTTTTCATATTCACTTATTTCCTCTTTTTCTTCCATTTCTTCTCCATTTTCATCTGATTCATTTTCATTGTTGTTCTCTTTTTCACATGAAGAATCTTCACCAGATTCATCAGGATTTATTTTGGCAACTTTGTTGCCTTTGGGTGTATCTTCTATTGATATATCAGAATCTTCGTACCAATACTTGACTTTCTAAAAACCCAGAAAGAAAAAAGTTTGAAAACTTGTTAATTCAATTCAATTCAATTCAAAACATCTTTATTCAATAAAGACAACAGATTAAGCCATATAAAGCTTGGATCAATTTAAAGAGGTTATGGCCTATTTTAATACATGAATTAGGTTATAACTGGTACCTACCACTACAGAAATTGATTTTCATACTGTAAGCCTACTATAACTTAATAGGATACTAAATTATTACACACAGCTACTATTAATATAGGCCTAGGCTAGATTATGTTTGCTTCCTTTACTTATTAGTATTCAAGACGACGGTATTAGTATGGACGACGGTGGTACGGATGATGCTCCGTGTTCAGTTTGTAAATGAATTATTCCTGGTGATGGAAAAGGACTCTACTGTGAAGAACTGTGCAAGAAATGGTATCATCCAGCTTGTGTGAACGTTTCGGAGGAAAGGTACGATCTTATAAACGAATTATCTGATGACGTGAAGTGGTATTGCTCTTCGTGCAACGTGAAGATTGACAGTATGGTTGAAAAAGCCGAGAACTTGGATGGTCTCATAAACTTACAGTCAGTGGTCGAAAATCTAGTTAGTTTAATTAAAACAATGGTGAAGGACAATAAAGCAACTAATATTCGTATTAAGGAAATATCTCAAACTAATGCGAGGTTATGTCAAATGTTATTGTCGTCTGCTGGCAAACACAAAATTGACAGGTCCAGTATTGCAAGTACTGCCAACGTAACAAAGACCTCTGGAGTAACCAGCAAATTTTTAGGCTTGATAATTGATGAACATCTAAATTGGAATGAACATATTAAGTATTTGGTTGGTAAAATTAATTCAGGCTTGTTTGTTTTAAGATCAATGGCTTATCTCTGTGATAAAGCTGTGTTAAAATTGATATACCACTCGCTTATAGAATGTCATATTGGCTGCGGAATCAAAATTTATGGTGGGACAGTACAATAAAATTTGAAAAAGGTTTTAAAACTACAAAAACAGGCCATTAGAGTTATTGAACAATTTAAGGATAAGAAGTCAGTGAAAAAGTACTTTTAAGAAATTAAAATTTTTACAGTGTATGGTTTGTATATTTTTAAAACTATTCAGCAGTGAAGTATCCCATAAATACAATACAAGGTGGAAAAATCTTACTGTAAAAAGTCATCATTGGTTGAAACTTTCAAAAATGAAGCCTTCGTATATCGGCAATTTATTCATAAGAAGTTTGCCTGCCTTACTAAAAAAAGATCAAAACAAACCCAATTTTTGAAAGAAATTAAAATAATTCTTAATTCATCTGGCTTCTTATAGTATAGACGAGTTTCTAAATCAAAAATGGATTAGCTATACATTCTAAAATAATTGTCAAATTGTATCGTTAAGTCTTTTAGATTAAGTTGCATAACCAATTTTGTATGCGTTGACACTATTCATGTATGTAATATGTATAAAGTGAATAAAGATAATTTGATTTGATTTGATTTGATTCAAGCCTAAGAAGCAAGACGATAAACTCGGTTCGAGGTCTATCATCGACAAACCTGGTGCGAGTTCGACTATTGGTAGTCGAAGTGTAACAACCGAATCCAGCCATTCGATACCTTCTTTTTGGATACTTGAAACTGGAGGCGAACAACAGCTGGCAAGTAAAGATGATAGTGAAGATGAAGTGGAATTTTTTGATAAGGACAGTTTTCCAGCTCTTATTGAAACTAATCCTGTCAAGTTGAATAAAACACCATGGAAAACTGTATTTTACAAGAGGAATCATACACAAATTAAGCCTAACCTAAATCTAGGCACATCTAAGGAAAGTGTTAAACCTAAAGACACAAAGTTCAGTAAATCTACTCATAAAGTACTGACTGGAAAGTCAGTGGCCATCAACACTCTAAATACCATCAAAAGAACAAAATTTATTTTTGTGTGAAGACTTGAGCCATCTGTAGGAAAAAAAGACCTAGAAAACTTTTTATCAGACCAAAAAGTTGGTAATTATGAAGTGGAAAAGTTAACAACAAAGTATCCGACTTACAGATCCTTTAAAGTGGGAGTGCCAGAAACTTCTTGGAATAATGTGTATAATGAAGACTTTTGGTCCAAGGGTACTCTTATAAGTACTTTCAATCTACCAAAAACTCGGCGAAATTTAAACTCAAACGGAAAGGTGGACACTGGGATAAAGGACAGCCTAATTCCAGTTGATGATCAGAAGAACATAACGTTTCACTATTAAAATGTTCAGGGACTAAGGAGCAAGGAGAATATTCTGAGTTTCCAGGGATTTGAGCGTGACTATGATTTATTATGTTTAAGCGAACACTGGCTCTGTGAAAGTGAGGTTAGTTACTTACAAGTAGAAGGGTACACACCGTTGTCTATGTATTGTCGCAAGAACCACATAAGAGGCGGAGTCGGTATTCTTGTGAGAAATAATGTGTTATTTTCTTGCCAAAAACTTTACCTAGATTGGCTTTGCTGTGAAGTCAACCTTGAATGTGTAGCCGTAGTGATAGACAACCCAAGAACTATTGTCGTTAGTATTTACCATTCCCCCGCTGGGGATGAAAACATATTCCTAACCAACTTGGAGCTGATGTTGATTCACCTCAGCCACATGAAAACACAAATCGTGATTGGTGGAGATGTAAATACCAAGTTCAAAGTCACACGTGACCAGCCTCTAGTACCTCGAAATTGTTAAATCTTCTTAGGCAATTTGATTGCAAACATCTCAAAAATATGCCTACTCGACTTAATTCTTGCCTCGACAATGTATTTACAAATATAACAAATGAATTGTGTAGCACTCATGTGATTCCCCTTGATATTAGTGATCATAGTGGACTTGAGTATATTTTAAAGATATCTGATCCTATCTACAATGAGCCCAAAAGTTTAACATTCCGTAATGTCTCCTTGCGTTGTCTGGATGAGTTATTGTTACTTCTGAACTGCGTTGATTGGGTGCATCTACTTGTGCAGCACAACATATCTGCAGATGAAAAGTTTGGCTTATTCTTCACTAAGATATTGGAGTTGTTTAATCAAGCTTGTCCAATTACAACAGTAACCAAAAGAAAAACTGCAAGTAAAGTAAAAGCCATTGTTAGGCCTACTTGGTATAGTACTGAATTAAAATCAATGAAGGACACTGTTATGGCATACAGGACAGTTTATTTAAATTTAAGAAGTCGAGCTTCATATAAGGCCTATAAACACCGTAGAAACATCTAAAAGCAAGACGTAAACAAAGCCAAACAAAACGCAAATGCTGCCTTCATCAAAAACTCAACTAATAAATGCCAAGCTTCTTGGACGTTGATCAGAAAGGTGTCTGCCCAGAAGAAGATGGAACCCGATGCTACGATCACCGCAGAGGACTACAGCACCTTCTTCATCGAGTCGGTCAGCGAGGCGAGGGACAACATACCTGTGCCACAAACATCCTCCGAGGAGTTCCTGCGGCATGCAAGGGTTTCCAGCTCTCCCTTCGTCTGGGAATGTGTTAGCGCTGAAAGTGTTTTAAGTGTTGTCTCAAAAATGAAAGCATCCAAAAGCATAGATATGTATGGCCTCTCAATTAATATCATTAAGTATATTATTAGTGATACCTTGACACCACTTGTTTTGTGCATCAACACCTGCCTGGCGGAAGGTGTATTCCCCAGCTCTCAAAAAATTTCAAGAGTAGTCCCTGTGTTCAGAAAGGGTGATAGGTCACAAGTAGCAAATTATCGCCCAATCTCCCTGGTCCCTGTCCTGGGAAAGATCATTGAATCGGTCGTTAAACCTCAAATCTGTAAGTACTTTGATTCTCAACAATTTTTTTTCAAAATTTCAATTTGGTTTCCGCAAGGGTCTGTCTACCACAGATGCCCTGGTGTGTCTAATCTCTGGAGTTCTCACAGCTTTTGAAAGCGGAAGTCTTGCACAGATCACAGCCTGTGATCTTAGCAAGGCTTTCGACAGGATAGATCATAGTATACAGTAGACCCTCTCTAAGCCGGCACTGCACCACTCTGGCACTCCAGTAATCCGGTGTCTTTTAACGGGTGAAGTCTTCCGCGATCGCAGCAAAATTCTGATTATCTCCCGCAGCCGAGTATACATCATCATCCACTCCCGTGGCCACGGAAACGACATTGTCATCTTGCGCGATCGCGGCAAAATCATGAACATCTTTCGCGGACCTATAGACGTTATCATCACCTCCCATGGTCACGGAAACGTCATTGTCGTCTTGCACGATCGCGGCAAAATCATCAACATCTCTCGCGGACGTATAGATGTTATCATCGCCTCCCGTGGTCATGGAAACGTCATCATTGTCATGCACTATCGCGGCAAAATCATCAACATCTCACGCGGTCATGTAGACATAATCATTGTCTACCGCGGTCGCGCAAAAATTGTATCATCTCCCACGGCCGTGTAAACACCATTGTCTACTCCCGTGGTCACGAAAACGTCATCGTCGTCATGCGCGATCGCTGCAAAATCACAAACATCTCCCGCGGAGGTATAGATGTTATCATCGCCTCTCACGGTCACGGAAATGTCATCGTCGTCATGCCCGATCGCGACAATAGGGGTTTCCGATCGCGCGATCTTCAGAGATGTGTTTTATTTGCATTTTAAAGGTTTTTATTGATAACATTCAAGTAATCTGGCAGTTTCACTAATCCGGCAGTATCATGGTCCTATATCTGCCGGATTACTCAGAGTCTACTGTACTCCTCAGAAAGTTGAACTACTATGGCATCGGTGATACACAACTTAGCTTTTTAAATCTTATTTGGATGGAAGAAGGCAGTATGTTGATGTAGGTGGAGATGTTTCAAGTTGTTCTGACGTTAGGTATGGTGTCCCCCAAGGGTCCGTTCTTGGGCCACTCCTTTTCATTATTGTAATTAATGACTTGGAAAATAATGTAAATGATTCATCCAGTATAATGTTTGCAGATGATACTACTTTTATAAGTATTCATCCTGATTTTGAAGCTTTAAAACTAATGGGAGCGCTTCATAAACTCTAAATTTCACAAACTCCAATGCTTAAAATATTAAATGAACAGAGCGTTTCATAATGTCCAAATTTCATAAGCTCCAAAACTATAACATTCAAATAATCACTGTTTCACAATGTCCAAATTTCACCAACTCCAACGATGATTTCACAAAGTCCAACGTTAATATATTAAATAAACAGAGCGTTTCATAATCTCCAAATTTCATAAGCTCCAAATCTATAACATTCAAATAATGAATGTTTCACAATGTCCAAATTTCACAAACTCCATCTTTTAAATATTAAATAAACAGAGTGGTTCATAATCTCCAAATTTCATAAGCTGCAATGGTACAGTCTGGACCAGAAGTCTCTACAGTGGTTGGCACGGTCAGATAGCAGGCACCGTCCAATCACCAAACAGCTGGCGCTAAACTACTTATTATACGTGCATTTTAATGATTGAAGAACACTTAGCTGTGTGGTGACTCAGTGTTAACACATAATGTGCAAATTAAATTTACATTTTTATATTTTTTATATCTTTAGTTCAAGCTTTCAGCTGAGTTTCTTAACTGTTCCGTCTCTCAATTAAAAAGCCATTACAAAATATTGTAAGAGATTTTTTTACCGATGAAAAATTTTAAAACGTATAAATATGTTTTATAAGTATATTTTCTAATAGCTGTTAAAATTTCATGATGATTACATCAGTAGGCCTAGTTTTTTTGTGTGTAAAAATAGCCCGTTCTTAGAAAAGTGCCGAAAACCTTGTACTTTATTCATTCTACCCACTAAAAGGATGAAACTACAAGTAAAAACTAAACTTAAACTTATAACTTAAACTTAAGTTAAACTAAAGGATGAGTTGAAACTACATAAAAAGGTAGAAACTAACATACATAAACGCAGAAATACATAAAATACAAAAAAAACATACAAACTTTCACGTTTATAATATTAGTTAGGAAGTACGATTATATTAATGATTATCCATGTTGCAATATATAAACTAATAACTTCACTGATACGTAACTTCATTGATGGTGTAAATCAAATAAGGAAAATGGAAATTCAATTAGTCTGCAGGTTTGCTGCAGAAGGGGTATTAATACCAATACTTTACACTCTTAAAAAAGCAACTACGACCAACAATGATGTTTTGTGACGCGCCACTACAACACTAGAACGTGTAGCGCCTACATGCCGAACCACGGCAACCTCTGCAGCGACTTCTGGCAGAGACTGTACCGTTGGAGCTTATGAAATTTGGAGATTATGAACCGCTGTGTTTGTTTAATATTTTTATTGTTGGGGTTTGTGAAATTTGGAGGTTGTGAAACGGTAAGTATTTGAAAGTTATATTTTTGGAGTTTATGAAATTTGGACATTATGAACCGCTCTGTTTATTTAATATATTAATGTTGGACTTTGTGAAATACCGTTGGAGTTTGTGAAACTTGGACATTGTGAAACGGTGCTTATTTGAAAGTTATAGTTTTGGAGTTTATGAAATTTGGAGATTATGAAACGCACTGTTTATTTAATATTTTAGACGTTGGAGTTTGTAAAATTTAGACATTATGAACCTCACTCAAACTAATCTGTAAAAAAACTCTTGACACGGCCTCTATGTGGTTTAGTTCTAACAGTCTCCTTTTAAACAAAGATAAAACCCAGAATCTGATCTGTAGTCTTAAGTCAATTAATGTTAGCCAAACTGAAAACCATGAAATTAAAATTTTAGGATTAGTAATAGACAGCTCTCTCTCTATCTTGGTTACCACATATAGATTCAGTTTGTATAAATTTGTCAAGAGTTATCTCTTTGTTAAGATCTCTTATTGGTATTGTGCCAGAAACCTAGATGTAAGAACTTATATTAAGACTGATGATGGCAATTTATTCTGCCAAAATGCATCTCCTGTAATTGGATATAGCTTTATTAGGATCGACCGGCTGAGACAGGACACAGGTAATTTAACCTTTTATTGAACCAAATCAAATCAAATCAGTTATATTTCCACAATATATAAAAAATTTACAATTTTTCAAAAAAATAAACTACAAATATATATAGTCCTGAAGCATTAAACAGTAAATTGTTTACGTAAATTAATTCTAGTAAAATTAATTTATAAAGTTATAATAGTAAAAACTTAAATACTAGAACCTATGTAAAGACATCCTACTTTGCTTATTTTCAGTCTGTATGCCCTAATTCTCTGGGGAAATAGCTGCCATGTACATAAAGTCTTGCTGTTACAAAAATTAGCATTAAGGGTTATGAAGAAGGCTCGAGTCAGAGAGCACTGCAAACCTTTATTTATTAGAAGTAAGATCCTGATTGTGATAAACCGGTATATATTTTTGTGTTTGTTGTATGTAAAAAAGAATTTAAATGTAGGCTTATATGTAAACAGATCAGACATTCACCAATGTAACAATAGAAACCAGTTCATGTTAGATATATCATACAGTAGGCTAAGTAAGTGTAGAAACAGTTTTGCGATTATTGGTCTAATAATGTTTAATAGGTTGCACACTGAAAGCAAATCTTTAGAATTTAAGTTATTCAAACTTAGAATGTATGACTGGCTAAGCCTAAATCCCTTCTATGACTTGTCAGAATATTTTTATAATAAGTCTATATACACTTTTGATGTTCTGATTGACAAATAGTATTTTATTTTTTAACTTTGTATTGATCATATTGACGTTGTCTATTACATTGTGTATTATGTTTAAAGACAATAAAGATTCTGATTTCTGATATTAGCCTAATATTTTTAAGTAGCCAGCTTTTGGCCTTTCTGTACATTTTAGTTTCTCAATGAATGAAAGCATAATGGCAATTATCTTAGAAGTAGAGTTGTTATGGATCAATAATATATAGGCAACAGGCTAGGCCTAGGCTATATTATAGTTCGATCAATTTTATTAAAATGTGATAGAACCAGATAGGCCTATTTAGGTTTTGTTATGTTATGGACGTATTTGATCTTTGGTAGACTTCAGGCTCTGGGTTAGTGGGAAGTTTTCAAAAGGATTTCCCCTCAAACCTTGTATTTACCCGTTTGTTAAATACTGCAAAATTTAGTTAGCCCCTATTTTGGGGGCGAGGAATTCAATGGAACCATAACTATTCCCCTACTTTTTACTTTCGCTGTACCATTTTACTTTTTATGCGAGTAAAGTCCTCCTAATAAAAAAAGTTGTTTTGCCTTAAATGGATTCCTTTAATTGTCTATCCAAATATACGCTGTTCGTACCACTTACAGAGTGGGATTCAAAAGTAACGAATGAGCTTTGTTCAGAAACTAAGATTTACTAAATTGAAATGAATTCTTTATTATTTCAATACAGAAAATCAGTAGGCCTACAATGGTACACAAAACTAATTATGAAATAAAATCCCCAAATAAACTAAAAGCCTGTGGTTGGGGATTGAGTCCATCTTCCGCACAATAAACAATAAATTTAGGCTACATTTAAAAAGGAAAATAAGATATATTGTACACAGAATTTTGTATACAAGAAGATATAAATAATAAACTAGGGGTCTGGGGAGTGACTATGTTGCAATGCCACTTTGACTGAAATGAAATATACCCGCTATTTTCGGGGTGAAACATTCAATGAAACATTTGCTGTGCCCCTACGACCCCCTTTTAGCGAATTTCCCATATCAAGAATAAGCTAATTACCGTGTAGTACTCATGGTAAGACCTGGAACCGGGACCTATGGGTAACCATGTAAAAAGTGTGGGTTTCTGTCAAGGCTGGAATAATTATGGTTACTGCCTGCGAGGTGATTGGCGAAAGCGGATTTTGGCTGGGACAATCTTGGGCGAGACGTTTTTGCTCGGCGATCTTTCTTTACAATGGAAGGACTGGAAAGTGACAGTGTGTGGGATCAGGATGCTACTATTAATTGTTAGTGTGAGTCCAATATTTATTTAAAATCACTTACAATTAACATAAATTTTATCAAGCTTCTGGCGAGGAAATAGCCAACCGTCAATTAAAATATACTAGTCAGTAGTTTACAAAGGTAAATAAAACTTTAAACAGGCCGTTTAGCTCCAATAATACTTGTGAGCACGGAAACATTTTTGAACCATTATTTTCAGCTAAAAATCTAGTTTCTGGAGATATATAAATCTATACTTATAGGTTCCCATAATAATACTTAGGCTATAGGTTAGTCGCAATAATTACCTCAATAACTTATGTTGTAATGCTGTTAAAAACTTAAATGAAGTAGGCCTATAGCCAATATAAACTTAGGCCTAAATTACTCTTTTATAAGGCGAGAAATTCAATGGAACCATTGTCGCTCCCCTATGACTCCGCTTTTTTACCTATTAAGTTAGGCAAAAGAGATGACATTTTGTTACAATGCACCCTCTACAAAAAATGGTTTGTGGACATGATGTAGGCCTCTAGGCCTAGGTTAAACCGTGGGTTAAACTTACCTTTCTGTTCCTTTGGGGATATTTTCTTTGAGAAGGAGTCTCAGATTGGTTTTCCATTTCAATTATCGTTACAGAATTCCTGAACTTTTTAAAAGCCTAAAAAACTAATTTCAAAGTTAGAATTTACAACTAATTTATTTCTTGGATTACAATCGCAATTCGCATCCCCAATAACTTACAACATAAGAACACAAGAAGACAGGAACGAACACTCAAAGAGTCAACAAAACAAAACAAAACTTCTGCTCTGCTGTGTCACTGTGTTGTGGGAAGGCGGGAAAGTGTGATCAAAGACGTTAGAAATGTTGCAAGGAGTTTTGTTTTATAATCAGTATATGGGGACCCGAGCAAAGCTCGGGAAACTTTATCACTACATACACTATACTCGGAGAGTATTCTTTGGTCAATGTAAATCTATCCCAAAAATATTAATTTGCGGTCTATTTTTTCTTGACATCTATTTAACTTGTATTCAAATAATAGTAGGTATCATAGTTTACTAAAATTATGAGATAGAAGAGTTTTTAACCATTTGTTTGGTTCCCCTAAACGGCCCAAACTATAGAAAATACCCAGTGTTTTTCACGCTGAATTCAAAAAAAGGCTATCAGCAGTAAGAAAATCTCCTCACCTTCCTTCCTTTGAAGTATGGTATTAGCATAGATAAAACATACTCCCTTAGTAGATTTCTCATCCTTATGGAACAGCTGAAGACAATTTTATTGTTAGTTCTGTACGGTTTATGTAGAGGTCGTGTTTTGTTTACAATTTGTTCCCGTTATTACAGCCATTTAAAACCTCGTTTAACCAAATAATACGATCTAATCATAAACAATAACTCGTCCCCTAGTTATTTAACCAAACAGTAAAGCACAAATCAAGAAATTAACCCTAAAATAATGGAAACAAAGTTTTGTCGACACTTGCGCCCATGTGTCACGTACATGAACTAGACACGAAAAACGTGCTTCAAAATTTACAATGGGATGAGAGGTCTACTTGTGTTGGTTAGTCTATGGTATTAGCATAGACTAACCAACACGAGTATGTTTTATCTATGGTATTAGTCACTGCAAGAACTTGGACTCGCTCCAAAACCAGAACCGGAACTTGATTTCCTTAATTTTTAAAATGTAATAAGTTACAATTTTCCGAACACTCAGGACTCTTTCCGACTGATAACGATTACATTTTTTTATTTGGCAAGAAGATATCAGTAAAGAGACAAATTATAATCAAATTTTTATTAGTATATTCAACTTTTTCTATAAACAATATTTACAAGCAAATTTTGGTTCACTTAGGTGTTGGCTTTAAGACCAAAATTAATCTCTTGACATTTTATAAATCATCATCTAATGTAGGCCTACACTAAAGTATGTACAATGCTAATGCTCAAGTGAGTATATTGATGGATTAGCTTGAGCCTCGTTCACACGGGGCGAGTTTACACGCTACTCGCCGGCTTTTTTACACGCAGCTAGTAAAATAGCTTAAGCCCCGTTCACACGGGGCGAGTTTACAAGCTACACGCCGGCTTTTTTACACGCAGCTAGTAAAATAGCTCAGTGTGAACGACGTACTCGCTCAAAAGCTGCTTGTAAAAAAGCTCTGGAAAAAGTTGACGCTGCCGCTACTTTACACGCCAACTCGCCAGCTTTTGAGCGAGTAGGCGTGTAAAGTAGCCCAGTGTGAACACAGTTGCTTGTGCGCTTGTTACTCAAAGATGTTGGAGGATTTGGTTCAAGCCAGCTACTGAGCGAGTGGAAAAAACATCGTGTGAACGACTAAAAGCGCACTCACCGACTCGCCGGCGTCTTTCTACACGTCTGCGAGTTGGCGAGTGGACAAGCTCCGTGTGAACGAAAGCAAGTTTAGGCATTGGCATTTGTCGGTTTGCGACATTTGTCGACTGGCGACACGCTACGGCATCATGGCACGCTGATCCAACCTTTCTTTAACCAACTAGCTTCATAACCTATCAAATGCATATGCAACACCTAGCTTCCCGAGACCGATTTACTTTTTCATTTTGATGTCCCCAGAGGCCAAAAACACCATTCGTTCAAAATTTTACATACATACATATATATATATATATATATATATACATATATATATATATATATACAGGGTGTTGAAAATGTCTGGAACCAACATTATATCTGGTGAGTGGTTAAAGAAAAACAACTGATATTTTGTGTACGGATATACTATGGTTTTACCTATCTTTTGGTGCCTTATGAAATTGTTTACCACTTATAGGGAACGTCCTGTGGAGGATGTAGTAAAAAGTTTTAATGGAAGCCTATAGTAAATGATACATCATTTTAAGGGCAATTTTTTTCTGAGTAAGGAGCCACAAGTTTCATCTCAAAAGGACCACCCTAGCAAAAATGAAGACTGTTTGAAATTTAAAAACCCACTTTTAGGGAACGTCCTGTGGAGGACGCAGTAAAAAGTTTTAATGGAAGCCTATGGTAAATGATACATCATTTTAAAGGCCATTTGTTTCTGAGTAAGGAGCCAAAAGTTTCATCTCAAAAGGACCACCCTAGCGAAAATGGCGACTGTTTGAAGTTTTTGAAAATAATTGAAAGCTTAATTGGTATTTCTGTTAATTTTTCAGTTCACCACGTGACAAACTACTGTACTTCGTAACTGGCTTGTAATAGCATTTAAAGGGAACAAATCTGGACCATTTAAATAGCAATGTTTTTAAATTTCAAACAGTCGCCATTTTTGCTAGGGTGGTCCTTTTGAGATGAAACTTGTGGCTCCTTACTCAGAAAAAATGGCCTTTAAAATGATGTATCATTTACCATAGGCTTCCATTAAAACTTTTTACTGCATCCTCCACAGGACGTTCCCTATAAGTGGGTTTTTAAATTTCAAACAGTCGCCATTTTTGCTAGGGTGGTCCTTTTGAGATGAAACTTGTGGCTCCTTACTCAGAAAAAAATGGCCTTTAAAATAATGTATCATTTACCATAGGCTACCATTAAAACTTTTTACTGCGTCCTCCACAGGACGTTCACTATAAGTGGGTTTTTAAATTTCAAACAGTCGCCATTTTTGCTAGGGTGGTCCTTTTGAGATGAAACTTGTGGCTCCTTACTCAGACAAAAATGGCCTTTAAAATGATGTATCATTTACCATAGGCTTCCAATGAAACTTTTTACTGCATCCTCCACAGGACGTTCCCTATAAGTGATAAAAAATTTCATAAGGCACCAAAAGATAGGTAAAACCATAGTATATCCGTACACAAAATATCAGTTGTTTTCCTTTAACCACTCATCAGATATAATGTTGGTTCCAGACATTTTCAACACCCTGTATATATACAGGGTTAGTAATAAGTGTGGAGACCCCCTGTTATTTTTTTAATGGCCCATACTAGAAAAACTAAACTCGGCACACCTTTATGGCATGTTATGAAGTACTTTTTGGGCATAACCGTCACTTGGTGTACATCCCCAAAATGGGGGATTTTGGGGGAAACTCAAAACTTTCAAATACAAAGACCTATCGAGTGACCCCTCATTTTGAAGTTCCTGGAAAAAAAACCAAAAACGCAAACTAGAGGTCTTTATCTCAATCCAGTAAAAAGTGGCAGCCAATTGAAATTCTCAGAATTTGAATTTAACTTGCAGCTTTCCAAGTCTGGAGACCCCCTGTAAATTTTGTAGCGGCTCACACTAGGAAAACTAAACTCTACACACCTTTTTGGCATGTTATGAAGTACTTTTTAAGCCTAATATCCACTTGCTTACCAAACCCAAAATGGGGGATTTTGGGGGAAACTCAAAAGTTTTAAAAGATAGGCCCCATCAGGTGACCCCTCATTTTGAAGGTCCTGGTAAAAGAAAACTAACAACGCAAACTAGAGGTTTCTATCTCAATCCAGTAAAAAATGGAAGCTGATTGAAATCTTTAGAAATCGGAAATAACTTGCAATTTTATATTCAATTGACTGCCAAATTTTACTGTGTTAAGATAGAGACCTATAGTTTGCGTTGTTAGTTTTCTTTTATTATGACCTTCAAAATGAGGGGTCACTCGATAGAGCTTATCATTTAAAATTTTTGAGTTTCCCCCAAAATCCCCCATTTTGGGTTTGGGAACTTATGAGAATTTCAATTGGCTGCCATTTTGTACTGAACTGAGATAGATACCTCTAGTTCGCGTTGTTGGTCATCTTTTACTAGGACCTTCGAAATGAGGGGTCACTCGATGGGTCTTTGTATTTGATTTTTTTTAGTTTCCCCCAAAATCCCCCATTTTGGGGATGAACACCAAGTGGCGGTTGTGCCCAAAAAGTACTTCAAACATGCCATAATGGTGTGCCGAGTTTATTTTTTTCTAGTATGGGCCGTTAAAAAAATAACAGGGGGTCTCCACACTTTTTACTAACCCTTATATTTATATATATATGTGTGTGTGTCCGTTAGCACGATAACTTGAGCAAAAATGATCCGATTTTGATTACATTTTGTACAAACGTGTAAACCTACGTTTATTCGAACGAGTTCGCGATCCAGCATGATCGGACCACGGGAACGGGGGTTTACGGGGGGTTTTATGGGGTAAAAATAGGTTTTTCCCATTTTTGACCCAACAAACATAAAATTTTGCAATTTCTTTCCAAACTATTTTGTAGAACTTAAAAAAAAATTATTATATTGAAGCGTTTTTATTTCTACTAACTATTAACATTTTACAAAAAAAAACAGTTTTACCCTCCCTGAAGCAACAAACCTAAGTACTTGTTAAACTAATTCTATTTAAATCGGGAATAAATGTTATATTTTTAAGTATACATTTCAGTGTAAATCAAATCAGTCAAATGTAAATTCGCTTTGTCTGCAGGTTTGCTGCGGTGGGGGTATTTATATATATTATATATGTGTGCCGTTAGCACGATAGCTCGAGCAAAATGATTCAATTTTGATGAAATTTTGCATAAACGTGTAAACCTACATTTATTCAAACGAGTTCATCGCGAACCAGCATGATCGGAGTATGGGAACGTGGTTTTTTATATGGGGTAAAAAAGGGGTTTCCCATTTTTAACCCTAAAAACACAAAATTTTACAATTTCTTTTCAAACCATTTTGTAGAGCTTAAAAAACAAATAATTTAGTATATTGAAGCGTTGTTGTGCGCCTAATGGTTACG